AATGTTTCTTTCCTCTGGCTTCTTTCAAGATTTTCTCTGTCTTTGATTTTCTGCAGTTTGAATATGATATGTCTAGGTGGAGATTTTTGGCATTCATCCTGCTTGGTGTTCTCTGAGCTTCTTGAATCTGTGGTTTGGTGTCTGTCATTAATTTTAGAGGATTCTCAGCCATTATTACTTCAAATATTTCTTCTATTCCTTTCTCTCTGGTATTCCTATTGCATATATGTTACACATTTTCTAATTGTCCCACAATTCTTGGATATTCTGCTCTAGCTTTTCCATTCTTTTTTTTTCTTTGCTTTTCAGTTTGGGAAGTTCCACTGACATATCTTCTGCTCTCCTGACTCTTTCCTTGACTATGATCAGTCTATTAATGAGCCCATCAAAGACGGTCTTCATTTCTTTTTACAATGTTTTCAGTTTCTAGGATTTCCTTTTGATTCTTTCAATTGAGAGTTTCAATCTCCCTGCTTACATTACCCACTTGTTCTTGCATGTTGTCCACTTTTTCCGTTACACCTGTTAGCATATTATTCATTGTTGCTTTAAAAGATTTTTTTTTAAGTTTTTATTTTTTTTCCTTTTTCTCCCCAAAGCTCCCCGGTACATAGTTGTATATTCTTCATTGTGGGTCCTTCTAGTTGTGGCATGTGGGACGCTGCCTCAGCATGGTTTGATGAGCAGTGTCATGTCTGCGCCCAGGATTCAAACCAACAAAACACTGGGCCGCCTGCAGTGGAGCGCACGAACTTAACCACTGGGCCACAGGGTCAGCCCCTGTTGCTTTAAATTTTTGATATGGTAATTCCATATGACTCTGCTGTATCAGAGTCTGGTTTTGATACTTGTTCTTCAAACTGTGGTTTTCGCCTTTTAGTATCCCTTGTAATTTTTTGTTGAAACCCAACATGATGTGCTGGATAAAAGGAACTGGGGTAAATTGGCCTTTAGTGTGAGGTTTTGTTTATCTGGCTAGAAGTTAGGCTCTGTTTACTATTTGCTAGAGCTATAGGTGTCAGAGGATTCAATTTTCTTTAGTGTCCTTGTTCTTGTGTCCGCTGCTGTTTTTTAGTTTTCTTAGAAACTCTTTTTCTTAGAGCCTGAGCCTTGCAGTTCTTTTAGTTGTCATCTCTTTTTACTACACAGCAGCCCTATTGATGTGGTGGTTAAATATGGGGGCAGAGGAAGTGTTCTATAATCCTGTGATTAAGTTTCAGTCTTTCAGTGATCCTGTGCCTCTAGACTATGACATTTACAAGTGCTTTTTAGTGTTTTTCCCCCTTAGGAGAGATAGGAAGGCTAGCGGTGGCTGGAGTCGGGTGTTCCCCTTCCTCCAGGTTGGTTAGGCTGGTGAACTCCAGTCAGTTAGGCTCACTTTGGTAAAATAGTTTCCCTGAGGACAGGCCTTTGTTAAGGAGAACAGGACGCTCTGGGTTACTTTCCATATCTCAGAATGGTTACTGTCATCTGCTCCTGCTGGAAGCACCAGGGATTTTCCTCTAATCTCCACAGTCAGAACCTGGAAGGGCTCCTGAAGGTAAAACTCATGAAAGTGTAGGGTCCCCCTAAACTGGGCCTCCATAGGTTTTAACTCTTATGCTAGTCCACACTGAGCCTCCAGCAATTGCTTGGTTACAGTTTGTGTTCCTACCTGTATTAACCATGCCTTTTATTTTCTATATTCTGATGCTTTGGCATCTTGGGGCTCTGCTGGCCTTAAAGGGACTACCCCTCCTAGCTTTAGCTGACTCCTAGAGGTAGCAAACAACTCACCTGCAAGTGTGCCTTTCAGATGCAAACCAACCAACCCAGAGCTCATACCCCAACCACCTCCTTTATCAGGGTCTCACACTCTGGGCTTCTATCCCACCAGCCCTGATCACCCCAGGGCCAGGTCCCAGACAGCTAAGGACAGCCCGTATGCCCCAGAGCCACTGAAATTATTCAAACTAGTCAACCCTAACCCTCCTTAACCTGCTTCACCTGTTCCTTCCCTCAGAAACCACAATAAAGGCTCTTTCCCACATTTTCCCTCTCTCCTTCTGCCTCCTGACGGAACCTAGTGCTTCCCCATGTGTCTCTACATGGCGTGATGTGATATGCCTCCAGTTTCTAGGGATCTGTGAGTACAATAAACCTCTTCCTTCATGGCAGTCATTTCCATGTCTGAGTGTCTTACCTACCTGGTTAAAATAAGTCCTGAGTATCCCTTAAAACACTACCAGTCCTGGCTCCCAGGAAGGGCTTCTGCTCCAGGTAAGCTATGATTCTCTGCCTCGCCCTCCATTTTTTGGGACAGTAGCTTGCCCTATGAACTCAGTTCTCTAATGGATCTAAGATGAGTGGGTTTTTGGGTGTTTTTTCAGCTCCTTCCTTGTTGTCAGGATGGGGGTGATGACTTCCAGGCTCTGTGCTAGCCTGGGACAGTCCTAGTTTTAAAATGGTAAGTCCCATGTCCTAAAAGCCCCCTTCCCCACACCCACTTGGTATCTACCCCTGCTCCACACCGACTCATTCCCTACCTACTAATTGCCTAACCTCCACCCCACATCCACTTGCTACCTCACCCTGCCTGATACCCACTCACTGTACATCCCCACACTCCATTTTCAGGTCTCAGCTTGGAAGTTTCTTCCTTTAGAATGCCTTCCTCAAGTCTGGGTGAAGTCCACCCCATGCTTCTTGGACCATAGACTAATCACACTCTCTCTCTTCCACTAACTCCAAATTTGATGAGGGAAAGAATCTCATCAGTCTCATTTATTGCTGTAGTCCTGTACCTGAACAATGTCTAGCAGATGATCAATAAATGTTTTTGTACAGGTGAATGAGTTACTGAATAAACAGACATGTGTATATCCTTTGAGTTTTTGGCCAACTCAGTTAGCCAAGCAGGTAAGCACCTTGTCCATTTGAATATGCTACCAATATCCTAGTTTGAGATACAAGAAGAGAACTTTGGGTAGTTTCTCTCTGAACCTCAAAGCAAATTCCACTCACTAAATCCAACATGCTCCAGCTTACATCAGACTTGCACAGATCTTATCTCAGTTGGATTCCCTACCAACGCTTTGAGAAAGGTGCCTATAGATAGATTGGGTTCCCTGGAAGCAGAGCAGGAGATGGGGATTCTGTGCATGTGACTTATCAAGGGTGGTTCTAGGAGACAAGGAAGGAGGAAAACAGGACAGGGAAAGGGAAGGGGCTGAGCAAGCGTGTGTATTCAGCAGGAGTCTAGCCACGGCCTGATCCCACAGGGAGCTCTGGAGCATGAATGAACCATACACTTGCTCTGCCTTGAGTCAGGAGTGGACTTTTGTACCAGTTGGTAATTGGCTGTGGGCTGATTCAAGGAGAGGAGAGGGATGTAAACTAGGAAGTTCCCAAGAAGATGGTTCCCATCAACCAAGGGCTCCCTAGAGAAGGGAGAAGCTGTGAGCTGTTAGAGCCAGCATGCACAGTAGCTATGGGATGATGCAGTGGCCAGGTAATGGGGATCTGGGACCGCCAACAGCACATACTGAGTACCCAAGAGGAAGCTGACTCAGAGAGAACAAGCAACCTGCCCAGAGTTACCCAGGTAATAACCAGCAGAACAAGGCTTCAGGCCCAGACATCCAGACTCTGAATCCCCTGCTCGGTCTGCCCAAATTCCTCCACACCAGCCATCAACCGGTTTTGGTTACTGTTTCACAGGGCGGCTTGCTCCTCAGAATTGAAGCTCAAGGGTCAGGGAAGCAGAGAGGAAAGCTCCCTGTGGCCGCTACATCATATGCACAACCTTGGAAGGAGGCCAGATAAGGAGTAGGATAGAGGCGAAAATGTGAGAACCTGGGACTCTGTGGCCTGGACTTCGTCACTGACTGGAATGCTGCTGGGAATGGTGGGGGCCCAACTCCACCCTGCTCTGCCCAGAGTTTGGGTTCTCGCAATGCTCTTGGGGAACTCTGCCTGGTCATGGCAGAAAAGCCTGGCCGCCGCAGGGCGGGGGAGCGAGGATATGGACTTGCGACGGTGAGAACAAGTGTTCTAGAGCCAGATCAGGTTCCAGGCAATGCCCACTCGGACACAGGGCCTCAGAGAGCAAAAGTGGCAAGCAGGCTGGAGACGGGAGGGGAAAAGGCCTTTGTTGGGTACCTCCCATGGGCCAGATCCTGTACTCTTTTTAATTAACCCTCCCAACCATGTAGCCATATAGGGAGTAGGGGCTACAAGAGCCATTTTATAGATGAGGAAACTGAGCTGCAGAAAAGTTAAGTAGTTTATCTGTGGTCAAAGAGGTAAATGTTAGAGATGAGCTGAGACTCAAAGTGATTAAATGACTTTCTCAAAGATACCCAGCTAGTGAGTGGTGGAGAGGTTGGTTATTAACACCAGAATCTCATTATAATTTTTCCTGAATTTAATTTGTAAATGCCTATATGGATAGTTGTGCTTAAACCAGCTGTTGGGCAAACTGTTTGGAAAGTTCATACTGTAGAGTAGATTCTGCTCAACCAGGCCATTTGCCAATGCTATAAAGTCATGGTTTAAAAAAACACTCCGGCAGTGTTGAGAAACACAACCTGAACTGGTTCAGCTGCTCTCACCCTCCATGTCTTCCCTTATGCCGGGCAGGGGCACAGGAGGGGCAGCCTCTGGAGAGTGGAGCCAGCCGGGCCCTTCCTGTCTCAGTGGTCCAGCCTTACCAAAAAGAGGCCCATGCTTGGCCTTGGCCCTGGGGATCAGGAGATGACTCAGTTCTGACCCCAAGAAACTGAGCATGTGAAAGGAGAAAAGGCACATGCCTAGATCTCTACTCCGCAGAGTGTGGGAGTGCCAGCCCATCAGAGGAGGGAGACATTAATTCTCATCCCAGACCAGAGGCTCCAAAAGAGGTGGCCTTTGGAACCAAGAAGCTCCAGGAGGCATCTTGGGCATCGGATTTCTCACAGCTGGGGGCACTTTCCTGGGGTCCAGGCAGTGAGGCCAGAACTGTCCATTTCTTTCTCCTGCAGGTGACAGGTCTGGGAGGAGACCCTCGAGGAAGCAGGCTCCCAAAGCCCAGGGTGCGCCAGGCAAGCGTGGAGCACCTCCCGGCAGGAAGGAGCGGGCTGGTGGAAGCCCAAGGCCGGGGTCCCCACGGAGTAAGCAGGCCGAGCGCAGGAGACCCCGAGAGGAGCTGAGGAAACCTGAGCGAAGCACGGCAGAGAGGACCTCCAAGGGGAGGAGGAAGAGTGATGGGAGGACTTCCTTCAAGGAGCAGAGGGCACCCCCAAAGAAGGAAAAGGAGACGCCGAGGAAGGAGGAGATGTGGAAGCCGCTGAAGAAACACAGGTGTGCTGTGACTCTGATTCAGGCGCGTTTTCAATCCTTGCTTTCCCTCTCCTGCTGGCCCTTCTGTCTCCCCTGATGAGGGGCAGATGTCCCCTCCCATGCGAATAGGCTGCCCTGCTCTCTCCTCCTCTTCCCTTTGTCCCTGCCTTTGCCACTGCCTGGCTCTCTGCGGGGGAGTTGGGGGCCAAACTAGGAGGAGGATCAAGGCCATCATGAGTGGAGTGGCCGCTAGGCATGCTCGGCTCAGCACCTCGTGTCAGATGGTGCAAGTGGAAGCTCTGAGTGGGGAGGTGACATCGCAACAGGCGAGACAAGATCCCAAGTCTCCTGAATTTCAGCTGGTGATTCACCACAGCTCTTGAAGAGGAGCTGAGAGAAATGAGCAAAATTGGACGCAGGAATCACTGTAGGGCTCAGGCACACCATTTTTCCAATCTGGACCTGGGTTGTCATCTGTGAAATGGGGCATTGATCCAGAAGGCCTTCCAGGGTTCCGCCAGCTCTGAAATTCTAGAATCTGGGGCTTTGATTTCTTTGTCTTATTTCCTTTGTTCCGTTAGCACTAGCACGCGTGGGGCAGTGGACAGAGCTGGCTTATGGAATCAGCAAGTCAGGATTCTAGTTCCATGTTTTGCTACCAATTTTGATGGGACATCTCCCTCTCTTTGCCTCCCTTTTTTGCTTCACTCTCTTCCCGGAACGTTTAAGAATCCCTGTTGATAAAGGCTGGGGAGGCTTTTGAAACAGTTGGAGGTATTGGGATGATGGCAAAAAGCTGCTGCTACCTCCCACCGGGTTCTAACAAATTTTACTTCTCCACCTTTACAGAGAGGGAACTGAGGCCCTCAAAAGGGGCCACTGATTTCTTCTGTCACCCGTGCCAGCCATCTCTGGCGTGATTAGGTCTCTTGTCCAGTCTGGTTGTCCCTGGACGTAAGCTAAAGGGGTAAAAGATGCATGGTGCCTTTAGCAACTTAAAGAGAACTTGACTGTATTGCTGATGGGCCCTGGAGTGTCCTGAACTTTAGAGGGAGGCTGCAGCATCCTAAACGGACTACAGGTGTCTGGATGGAAGGTGCAAAGTGAGGAATACAGACAAGCACTCATTCATGCCATTTTCAGCTGAATGCCTTGGCAGGACATAGAGAGATGAAAAGACTCAGTCCTGTCCCCCAGATGCTGACAGTCTAGCAGGGGAATAAGCATGGCGATCAGTCATCATAAGACAGGACAGAAAGCAGTATGTATATGAAAAGGATCTGATGAAGCACTGTATTGTGGGGCACTGGGGCCTCAGAGTTCCTCCATGGAGAAGGGAAGCATGTCAATAAGGCTTTGAAGCATAGGTGGAATTTGAACAAGCAATGACTGAATGCACCCCCAGACTGAGGGAACAGCCTAGGCAGAGACCCAAAGGCAGATGTCGTGGGGTGCATATGAGATGTGGCAAAAAATCCCCCTGCTCTAGGCTTGCCAGCGTTCAAGGGCTGGGGCCCCTCCTCTCCACTCCATTCTCCTATGAATCTCCTTGCTCTTCAGGAGTTCACCAAAGCTAAAACTCACGGAGGCTGCTGCAAACTGCTCTGTAAAATCTGCAGTAACCCAAGCCCACATCCTGTTGTTTCCATTTATGAAGCTGGCTAAGAAGGCAGCCCAGGAAGAACCCTTCTCCAGCCCCTCCCTCACCTCCCACCCCCCATCCCCACTCCCCTGTCAGCTGCTGTCTTGCTCAGCTGAGAGTCACTATTTTGATGAATGAAGGAGGCTGTGAGAAGTGCACACAAGAACTTGAATTTTGTGGCCGCTGAGCACATAGTTTTGTCTGTGAGGTGGTGAGGGTCATCACACGGCAGGGTTTCCAGCCGGAAGTTCTCTAGAGCTGCGCTGTCCAGTGCCATAGCCACTAGCCAAATGTTGGGCACTTGAAACGTGGCTGGCGTGACTGAGGAACTGAATTTCTGATTCAATTTAATTTCAGTTCAGTGTGAATACTACTGAGTTGACACAAGAGTTAGTGAATTTACTTAACTTGCACAGATAGATGTAGTTTTGAAATTGATTTAACTTTGAAGCCAAAGCATTTCTTCTAAAAAAAAAAAAAAAGACTAATTTTATCAGTGCAGATGCCAATGTCAAAGGAAAATGATATTCTGCTACTTGATTCATTTATTGGGAAACTTTTAAGTATATCTATAACAATTTGGGTATGTAAATCTACTTTTTCAACTATAAATTGTTTGAAATCCAAATACAGATCAAATGTGTTAGGAAAATTTAGTGTCTGAATTGACATGCACAATGAGTGTAGGACGAACACCGGATTTTGAAGACAGTACAGAAAGAATGTAAAATGTCTCATCAATAATTTTTATGTTGATTACATGTTGAAATTATAATTTTTTAATATTGGATTAAATGAAATGCATTATTAAAATTAATTCTGCTCGTTTGATTTTACCATTTTAACGTGGCTTGTAGAAAATTTAAAATTACAATAAGCGGCTTGCATTATATTTCTGTTGGGCAGCAATGCACTAGAGTGTGGTGTATGGGGAGGACTCAGGGAAATTAAATTTGGGGAGGCAGTCCTCCCGCTGCCTTAGGCCACAGGACAGATTTGTGGCCTTTTCTGACAGGTGGTGGGAGTCGCTGAGGGCTAATGAGCAAGGGCAGGCCTGTGAGGGGTGGTTGGAGCTGTGGGCGTCGGGGAGCACAGCCCACCTGTCTTGCCCATGGGCTCTTCTGCATTCCACAGAGTACCTGAGGACAGTCTCTTCCCTTTCACTCTCCTCTACTCCACTCTGGCCCTGCCTCCAGATCGTCCTCCTTGGCCTCCAGCACCTCTGTTGGGGAGTCTTTGTCTGAGGAGGAGCTGGCCCAGATCCTGGAGCAGGTGGAAGACAAGAAGAAGCTCATTGCCACCATGCGGAACAAGCCCTGGCCCATGGCAAAGAAGCTGACCGAGCTCAGGTGAGCAGGTGGTGGCCGGTCAGGGCCTCTTGACGTCCAAAAGGCTCCGCTCCTTCTGATGGGCGTGGGAGTCCCTTCTTCCTCTCCGCCCCAAGACATTCACCCTCCCACTCTGCTTTGGTCCCCCTCTGTCCCCAGCAAAAGCACAGTGCCTGGGGGGCTGCTGTGGGCCAGCACCCAGCAGGGTCCAGCAGGAGAGACGGAGGATCATGGCACTGCCACCTACGCCCAACCCTTCCACTGCCTGACGGCCCTTCTGTCCCATGCCCCCATCTCATCTGGTGGCTTCTGTGCCTCCCTTACAACCCAACACAGACATGCCTTTCAACAGGTACAGACCTCTCTTGTGTTCTTTCAGCAACAGAGTCTCTCCCACTTGGAGCATGGAGAGCAGGAAGACACGGTCTGTCTCAGCTACTCTCCTGTCCCAAATGCCTAACATGTGTCAAGTTTGCATTGATGCTCTGTGAGTGTTGTTCTGGCCTCATACCCACGCCCTTCACTCCTATTTTCCACTCAGCTGCTTCTCTGGTTTCCGTATGAAAGGCTGGCACAACAAGCATTTTATGATTCTTGAGTCTCTGCTGCAGTTTTGAGATTAAGGCAGGAGTCACATTGCTTAACTTCTGGTTTTCTATGAAAAAATTCTCATCCAACCTTACCATTTTCCCCCAAGTCCTCCTGGGTTTTTCTTTTTTTTTCTTGAAGATTGGCAATGGAGCTACCAACTGATGCCAATCTTTTTCTTCTTCTTCTCCCCAAAGCCCCCCAATACATAGTTGCATATTGCATATTCTAGTTGTAGGTCCCTCTGGTTCTGCTACATGGGATGCCACCTCAGCATGGCCTGATGAGCGATGCCATGTCCGCGCCCAGGATCCGAACTGGTAAAACCCTGGGCCACTGCAGCAGAGCGCACGAACTTAACCACTCGGCCACAGGCCGGCCCCCTCCTGGGTTTTTCTGCCACAAGGCTGGGGGTCACTCCCGTTCCCTTTCCCTCTCTATAAAGTCATTTTCTCTGGCTCCTCTCACACCTGAGTTTCCTCATTACTCAAATCAAAGCCTCCCCCTTTATTACGTAGAACAATTTGGCAGCCCATGACATGTTCAGCCTCACTGTTTGCACCGAAGAAGCATAGCGGGAACGCTGGCTGCACAAACACAGTGCAGACCTTGACGAGGTTCTGGTAATAGAGCTTACTCCACATCCCGGCAAATTATTACATTGTCTCCCATGCAGGGCAGGAAGAAATGATGATCCAGGCCAACGATGACCAACAACTTTCTGGGATGATGGAAATGCTCTAAATCTGCACTATCTAATGCAATAGCCACTGGGCATACGTGGCTAGTGAGTTCTTGAGAAGTAGTTGGTGTGACTGAGAAACTGAATTTTTCGTTTTAATTTATTTAGATTTAAATCGTCACATGTGGCGGTGGCTACAGTCTAGGCGGTAGATATAGCTTCAGGCAGTGGCTATCTTCCTTCCCAACTCCTTTTTTCTGAGTCTCTTCTCTCTGCTCCCTCAAGGACAGGTTCTTCCTCCTTCCATCTGTCACTCTAAGAGAACCTCACCCTCACTCAAGTGTCGCCTGAACACATCTTTTATTAACGGTGGAAAAAGAGCAACGTTGATGCTTGTGAAAATGAGATCTCCAGCTGGCGGGAAGTCTCAGGGACCATAAAATCCTTGGCTGCTGTTCAGCTGCCCAGAGGAGAAGTCTGACATCCCCTCCAGCCCGAGGGGCAGAGCTCCTGGTCTTGGTACGAGTGGGAAGTGGCTAAGGCCTGAGAAGCTGAAAAGACTCATGTCTCTCTCACTGGGGCGGGTCTCCCGGGAAAACAGTGGTCTCCTCCCTCCAGACCTCTCTCCTTCCTCTTCGCTCTCTAGGCGCCTCATGCCACACTCAAGTCTAAGGCTCTCCAGCCTCTGGGTGTCCACTCCAGCCAGTGCCTCTGCCTAGAAGATCTCTGCTTTCTGCTAGCCAACTTGGCTAATTCCTACACACCCTGTAAGACTCGAGCCCAGTGTCCGCTCTGCAGGGAAGTCCCCATTACCCTCCCTGCATTCAGGCTGAGTTATTTACTGCCCCTCTGATCCCTGAGGCACTGTCCCCTCACTTGACTGGATGCTCTTGTTTGCAGAGCTGTGCCATATTCATCTTTTAGTATTCTTTCTTTTTTATATATAGACATTTACTGAGCGTTCCGTATGTGCCAGGCACTATTCTGAGTGCTGTATGTGTAATTCATTTAATCCTCATAGCCACCCTGTGATATAGGTACTGTTATTATTGTTCCCATTTTACCCATCAACAAACTGAGGCACAGAGCAATTGAGTAATTTGCCCAAAGTCACACAGTGAGTTAAGTGGCGTCACCTGCATTTGAACTCAGGAATTTCTGGCTCCAGAACTTACACTCTTAATGTGATCACCTCCCTACATTTACTAGAATTCTAAAATGCACCCCTTAGGCTCCCGTATGATTTCCTCTTCTGGCAATAAAGTCTTCAACTGCATCCCCAGACTACACCCTCTTTCTTCAGAAGTAATGCTTTGGGGACCCCAGTCTCTGGCCCAGTCAGGCAGCTGGCAGACCTGGGCATAGTTGTTGTAGACAAACTAAGAAGGAAGGCAAGGCACAAAGAGCAACAGCAGTGAATGGGGCAAGCCTGTGTTCACACCTCACATCCGAGTGGCTTTGGATGGCCATTCAATCCTTCTCAGGCTGGTTTGCTTCCCTTAACCTCTCTGAGCCTCATATGCCTCATTTGTAGAATAGGAATAATAATATCTACCTCACAGAGTTGTTCTGACAAATTCAAAATATTTATATTAAGTGGCCAGCACATAATATGCAATTAATAAATGGTAGTTATTGTTATTATTCAAGCTTGAACATCTTTTGTGCCAGATACTGTGTTGAGCCCTGAGACATGAGGATGGGGAACAAAGATGCATCAGAGAAGACATTTATTAATGGACAGCATTAATAACGACACAAGGTAGGCTGTGATGTTGGCAAAAGAGCTTCCAGCACCCATGAGTCAGGGATGTTTGCTTTAATCATAGAATTAATTGGGTATATCTCTCAGCTTTGTCAGAAGGCTGATGTCTTAGAAAATTACCAAACTGATTGCTTTCTTCAGAGAGATATGAAGAATTCCACTTCCAGGAAGGTGGAGTAGACATACTTCTCTCCCTATTCTTCCCCCTAAGCACAAATACAACCCTGGATGTTATATGTAAAGCAAACATAAGAAGGCTCAGAAAGGTGGAGAGAAGAAAGCAGACTACCTAAGGACCTCAGGACCAAAGAAATGACAGGACGTTGAGTTCCAGGGTGTCTTTTTAGCCTTAAAAATCCCAAACTGGATACTGGAGAAGCTGCCCTTCCAGAAACGTTGACAGACACAGATAAAAAACGCATTGACAAAAGTCTGCTCTCTCTTGCCAAAGGACCTGGAAAGAGACATCCTGGCAAAACAGAAAACTCTTAGACGATAACAATGCTATTTCAACCAAACCCCACAAAGAAAAGAGCACCTCCACCTCCATCCCTGGCAGCAAAAGCCAAGTGGGAAAGCCTAGATTTCCTCCCATGCCAGGTTACAACAGGGTGCCCCCAAATCCCCCATCAGGTGTCAGAGAAGGCCAAGTGGGGAGCAGAGACTTTCATCCCCACAGGGCAGTAATGATCCCTCCCTATCCTCATGGTGTCCGTGGAGGCCACATGGGGAGTCTGGACTTTCACCATCACCTGGCAGTAACAAGGCATCCCTCCCCAGGATGATATGAGCAGAAGTCTGGTGGGGTGCCTGAGCTCCCATCCCTGCTCAGCAGTAACAAGAAGCTCCTACCTGGCCCCAGTGTCGAAGAAGGCCAAGTGAAGAACCTAGGTTTCCAGCTGGAAGTAACCAGGCAGTATCCCCCTTCACCTACTGGAGCAGGGTCAGAGGATGGCTGCTAGAGCACAAATTTAACTAAGATCCAGTCTTATAACATAATATCCCAAATGTCCAGGCTTCAGTCGAAAATCACTCTTCATACCAAGAACCAGGAAGATCTCAAACTAAATGATAAAAGACAATCAACAGATGCTAATACCAAGATGATATAGACATTAGAATTATCTGACAAAGATTTTAAAGAAGCTACCATAAAAATGCTTCAGTGAGCAATTATGAATGTGTGAAACAGAGGAAGAAATAGAAAGTCTCAGAAGAGATATAGAAGATATAAAAAAGAACAACTGGAAATTTTACAAGTAAAAAATACAGTAACTAAAATTAAAAACTCAGTGAATGAGCTCAACAGTAGAATGGAGATAACAGAGTAAAGAAATAGTGAAGTTGAAGATAGAACAAGAGAAATTACCCAATCTGAGCAATGGAGAGAAAATAGTCTGGGGAAAAAAAGTAAACAGAGACTCAGGGACATGTGGGACTATAATAAATAATCCAACATTAGTGTCTTCTCCAAATCCTGTGCCTTGGATATAAAGAGGAAAAAATGGAGTCCTAGAAGAAGAGATAAAAGAGGATGGGGCTGAAAAAGTCTTCGAAGAAACAAGGACTGAAAATTTCTCAAATTTGGCAAAACGTACAGATTCAAGAAGCTAAACAAACTCCAAACATGATAAACCCAAAGTAATCCATGTCCAGATACACCATAGTCAAACTTCTGAATACTAATAAGCAGTCAGAGAAACAATGCATTTCCTATAGGGGAAAAATAATTAGAAGGACAGCAAACTTCTCATCAGAAACCATGGAGGACAGAAGGAAGTGGCACAACAATTTTTTTTTTTAAGATTGGCACTTGAGCTAACAACTGTCGCCAATCTTCTTTTTTTTTTTTTTCTGCTTTTTCTCCCCAAATCCCCCCAGTACATGGTTCTATATTTTAGTTGTGGGTCCTTCTAGTGGTGGCATGTGGGACACAACCTCAACATAACCTGACGAGTGGTGCCATGTTTGCGCCCAGGATCTGAACCAGCGAAACCCTGGGCTGCCGAAGTGGAGCATGGGAAGTTAACCACTCAGCACGGGGCCGGCCCCCACAACAATTTTTCAAGTGCTAAATGAAAATAATTGCCAGTCCAGAATTTATATCCAGCAAAAATATCCTTTAAAAATAAAGCAGAAATCAAGACATTCTCAGATGAAGAAAAACTTTAAAAATTTGTCACCAATAGACCTACCCTAAAAGAATGACTAATTAAATAAAGTTTTCTAAACTGAAAGGAAGTGATAAAATAAGGAATCTTAGAACATTAGGAAGGAAGAATATGGTAAGAGCAAAAGTGTTGGAAAATATGGATTTTCCTTCTCCTCTTGGGTATTTAAAATTATGTTTAACAGTTGAAGAAAAATTATAACACCATCTAATATGGTTCTCAGTGAATGCAGAGGAAATATTCAAGGCAATTATAAACGGAGAGGGTAAAGGCACATAAAGGGAAGTAATGTTTCTACACTTTGATAAAATATCAGCACCAGTTGACTTTGATATATATACCCAAAACAACTGCTAAAAAGGCTTACAAAGAGAAGTTTGCTGTCATTTTATGCAAAAACATTATAGATAAGTCAAAACGGAATCCTAAAAAATGTTCAAGTAACCCAGAGGAAGGCAGGAAAAAGGAAAGCAGAAATGAAAAACAGAGAGAGCAAACAGAAAGCAAGAAATAAAATAGTAGGTTTAAACCTTAGTAGATCAGTAATTACATTAAATGTAAGTGGTCTAAATACACCAATTAAAAGACAAAGATTGGCAGAATGGATTTTAAAAATGATTTAAGTACATGAAGTCTATAAGAAACTCACTTTAAATATGATTATATATGTAGGTGGAGAGTAAAAAGACAGCCAAAAAATTATACTGTGCAAACATTAGCCAAAATACAGCAGTAGGAGAGGCTGTGTAAATATTAAAGTCAACTTCAGGGTAAAGAAAATTCCCAGGGATGGAGAGGAACATTACATGATAAACAACTCAATCCACCAAGAAGACATAACAATCTTAAATGTGTATGCACCGAAGAGGTCAGTGGTTTGGGTACTACTGTGTATTAGTTACGCAGTGCTGTATAGTAAATTACCCTAAAACTTAGTAGTTTAAAATAATAATAAACATTCATTATCATCTATGGGTCAGAAATTCGGAAGCAGCTTAGCTGGGCAGTTCTGACTTGGAGTCTCTCATAAGGTTGAGTCAAGGCGTTGGCCAGGACTGCAGAAGGTCTGACTGGGGCTGGTGAATCGCTTTCAAGGTGGCTCACTCACATGGATGACAAATTGGCTCTGGTTGTTAGAAGGAGCCTCAGTTTTTCTCTCCATATGGGCCTCTCCATAGGCTGCTTGAGTGTCTTCATGACACGGCAGCTAGCTTTCCCCGGAGGAGGAGGAATTCAAGGAGAAAGTCACAATACCCTTTATGTCCTAGTCTCAGAAGTCATAAACTGTTGCTTCTACCACCTTCTATTCATTGACAGCAAGTTACTAAGTCTAGCCCACATTCAAGGGGAAGAGAATTAAGTTCTACATTTTAAAATGAGGAATGTCAAATAATTTGCTGGCATATTTTAAAACCACCACATGTGGGAAGCCAGGCATTCTTGGCTAGCCTCAACTGTCCTCAGATTGACACGGTGAGGTCTTTAGAGCAGATGCCTCTACCTGGCTGATCTGAATTTCCACTTAGAATGGGCTCAGCATCTGTTTGATCCCTGTCTCCACAGCTAAAAATGCAAATTGCTTGGGGACAAAGAGAGACACCAAACCGGCATGACCTAGACCACCTTTGACCTCTGGCCACCTCCAACCTCTAGCCACCTCCTTTTGGCCACCTGTGTTCCCTACTTACATTGAGATGTATTCAATATTTCAGCCTGGCTCATACACTCTCCCAACATTCTGCATGGGACAGCAAACCTCTGTCATCAAACACAGGCTTTCCTGTGTCTATTTTTACCTCTGCATCTCAAAATTAAGTATAATTTTGAATCTGATCTCCTTCACTAGGGGAGGAGTTTGGGAGGTACATCATCTGAGAGAGACCTTGGGTCAACTTTAGAGTGTTCCCATTTGGAAGTCCAAGTTACCGAGCCCCCTGTCCAGGCACCTGGGGGAGCAGAAGTTTCCTCCCATCAGCCTCTGGGCTAGCAAAGAATCTCATCAGCTTCCCACTCCAGGAGCTGCAGTTTCCTCAGAAGGGTAAAGGGTGACTGCCCGCGAAATGAAATTGCTGGCCTCACAGTGCATGCAATCACACATTCAATTCTCATAATACTATCCCCATTTTTAGGTGAACACTCTGAGAGGCACAGAGTCCTGCCTGGTTCTCTCTGGCACAAAAAGCCGCACAATGTGCCTCTCTCGCTCCCAACAGTAACCACTGGCCACCTTGACCATGTTTTCCAGACTGTGATTTGGGCCACTTTATCTACAGGGAGGGTCTTCCTGGAGGCAAATGTGAGGGGGTTCTGAAGTGCTGTCTGCAGTGTGGCTGCCTCCTAAAAGCCCTTTCTTCAGTAACTTCCTCCTCTGCTGAGTGTTGGAGGGGCCTGAGGGGTCTGCCAAAAGTGACCTTGAGACCCAGGTCCCCAGAAGCTGCCTCAAAATAATGGACTCTTCCTCTCTTCCTTTTCGTTTCATTTACCCCACACCATCTGGTTTGAGGAAAAAAGAGAGGTGAGTTTGTGGGAAGTTCCCAGCTGAAAGGACACTGCCAACAAGGAGGGGACGGAAGCACCTTCCAGAAGTAAGATTTGCAGCAGTTGGGAAGTGCAGGGCAGGAGCCAGTGTTTCCATATACCAAATACTGTCGCTGGTAAGGAAGACCATGATATTCTGGATCACAGGTGACACATTTAAAGGAGTTTGCTGTAAAAATGTTAGTTATTATTTATGTACCTTTGCTGAATCCAAAAAAGTTTACTGTGTCCATCAAAATTCTTGAACCAGATGGACTCTTCACAGCAAGTGGTCCTCAGAGCTTGCACCCAACACTGGGCAGAGCCCTCTGTTCTGCCGAGGGCTCTCTGGGGGTCTGGACATCAGGAAGAGAAGCATTTGCTGCCAGGTTCAATGGCTCAGGCACAAGACCTGGCCTTTACTTTTGAGAACTCTCATCTGAAGTCCCAAAATATTAACACTTGGCACACTTAAACTCAAAAACCCCAAGGGCTTACGAGTCTTTGCTCACTCATAAGATTCAGGACGCGGACAAAAATATGAGTTTCATGAAAATATTCTTTGGTGTCACAGAGATGTTGGTAGTCGCAGATAACTCCCTGCCGGGACATGGCCTGCCTAGAGGGGAAACAGCGAGCTGATCCGTTGTGAAGTACCTGCAGCCCAGCTTTTGACCATGGGCTCAGTGAGGCTCCTCAGCCTCATTGATATTGAGACATCCTAGTAAAGCCAGCCTCAGGATTAACCCCAGGGGAGAATGTGACTTTGATTCCTGTCAGGTGCCCGCACTTGCGCCTTGGAGGTGGTGTAGGCATTGTGTAACAAGCAGTGGGGCTGCAGCAACAGCAGCCAGACACACAGCTCCACAGTGCCTTCTTCCACTCAGCCCGAGACGGACTTCATTCTTCATCTGCTTGTGTGGGTTTATCCAGTTGTTGCTGATAAACTGGCCCCCTGGGTCGGGGGTGCGATAGAGGGAGCCTGATTTGTCTTTTGCTGATTTCCATGGGCTAAGTACTCCCACTATGGCCAATTTCAAGCTATCAGTGGTTTAACAACTGGTTGGCCAAGTTCCTGAATGTTTAACAATCAGTTTTCCGGAGCCAGTCCTCACCAGCTCCAGCACACCCTCCCAGAGTGTCTAACCGACAAACTGACTCCTGTGTTTCTCATCCAAACTTCCCCGGATGTTCATTCACTCACTCAACATTCATGCAGTCCACAAATATCTACTGAGTGCTGTGTTCACTTTCTATTGCTGCTATAGCAAATTGCCACAAGCTTAAGAGTTTAAAACAGCACTCATTTACTAGCTCACAGTTCTGTTGGTCAGAAGTCCAGCATGGTGTGGCTGGATTCTCTGCCTAGGGTCTCCTGGGGCCAAAATCAAGGCATCAGCAAGGCTGCAGTGCCCATCAGGGATTTGAAGTCCTCTTTCCAGCTCACTGGCTTTTGGCAGAATTCATTTCCTTGTCTTGCTTTCCATGAGGTGTCCTCCAGAGAGGACCAGCAAAAGAAGGTCGAAAATTCTCCTCCTTCAAATTTCTCTGGCTTTCCCTTCTGCCACATCTCTCTCTCTGACTCTTCCGCCTTCTTCTTCTCTTTTTAAGAGTTCATGTGGTTACATTGGGTCCTTCCAGAGATTCCAAGATAATCTCCCTATTTTAAAGTCTGTAATCTTAATTACATCTACGAAGACTCTTTCGACATTCACGGATATACCACCAGGGGGTGAAGGTCATGGAGACCAAAATTCTGCCTACAGGCACCTGTCATGTACTAAGCACTATTCTTGGCATTCAGGAACTTCAGTAGACAGAACAGACAAAATGCTCTGCCTTCATGGAACTTCCAATCTAATTAGGAGAGTAAAAACACTCAAGGCTTCCAGCCATCTACACATCCTCATAGTTCAGATTTCTTTGGGTTAAATGTTAATTGAATTCCTGCCCTTTTTTTTTTTTCTAACCAGGGAGGCCCAAGAATTTGTGGAGAAGTATGAAGGAGCCTTGGGAAAGGGGAAAGGCAAGAGACTCTACGCCTATAAGATGCTGATGGCTAAGGTGCGTGGTACAGAGGCAGCAAACCTGTGGAAGGGCTTGCTCAGCTTCTGAATCTGGGTGACCTTCGCAGGCACCTGCCCAGCCTCGCCATTTATGTCCAGCTCCCCCAGAATCCTGAGCGCAAGGTCCGGTTGACCTTTCCAATTCATCCAGGATTGGAAACCAACTGTATCCTGTCAATTTCTCTACTTTGTCTGTGAAGAACTAAACTCGCAAAATTGATGGTGTTAAAACCACTGGGATCTTATTTTTAGGACACACTGATGAATCATCCATTTTTATATAACATCTCAATAATTTTTTAATGTATTCCTTGTTTATTGGTGTCTTCAAGTTTTAACTTTTTCTTGGGGACATTTTGATATTTCATATTTTTCCCAAAATTTGATCATTTCATTAAGATTTTCATATGTGTTACCAGAAAGTTGCAGGTGGTGGTCCCACAATTTTTGTAATTACTTTCTATATATGTTGGGTTTAAATCTTTTTTATTCTTAATATTATTTTTCTCCTTTTACAGTTTTAATTGCCAGGCAACTATCTATGGGTCATTTTATTAACTAATCTAGAAACTATTTACCATTTAACAGCTGCACAGTCAGATCCTTTTTTCCCAACTAAGGAGGGTGCTCTGTCCTCTGTGTTTACCTTCCCTTATTGTTTTTAAGATTTTTTTTTATTTTTTATTTTTTTTAAGATTTTTTTTTCATTTTTTTCCTTTCTCTCCCCAAAGCCCCCCAGTACATAGTTGTATATTCTTCGTTGTGGGTCCTTCTAGTTGCGGCATGTGTGACCCTGCCTCAGCGTGGTTTGATGAGCAGCGCCATGTCCGCGCCCAGGATTTGAACCAACAAAACACTGGGCCGCCTGCAGCATAGCGCAGGAACTTAACCCACTCAGCCACGGGGCCAGCCCCTCCCTTATTGTTTTTAGTTCTTTGTTTTTCTCTCTCTTTGCATTCTCTGAAATTTCCCAGGTTTAATGTCAATATCACTGAATCAATTTTCTTCTGTCTCAATTATAATATAATTCTGTTAATGAACTTTTAGCTACTTTGTAATCCTTCCATACTTTACCTGTATTCTTTTTTAAATCTCAAAAAAAGTAAAGTGTTATCCTTTACTCTAGAAGCCATATCTCTTGTATCCTATTACGAATGCTGAACAATTTCTCAAAATTTAGTTATGTATCCTAGAGGAAATGCTTTCCAAAAATTTCAGAGAATGATGTCCATTTTTCCTTGTTCTGAGTACTATTTCTCAAGCCTCACTGGTTGTTTTTAGTCATTGAGACCCTGATTTCATCCACAAACAGGATGCTTACTTTGCCTGCGTCTTGTTCGACTGCTGTTTGAATTTTGTTTTCCTATATATAGCTAGGGAGCCAGATGACATGCCCAGTTAGTAACCCGGTCCTGGGGCAGCAGCCACCATCTCACGCAGCTCTGAGGAGGGGAGTTGGGGCCGCCTCCTGCCCACGCTCCAGCGCAGTTTTCTGATTCTCTAAACCAATGAAGGATAAGAGCCTCGATGCAGAGCTTCTCCCTGGCCTCCGTCTGCCTCTGCCCCTCTCCAGGGCATCACTTTCCAGGCCAAGATGCCCATAGCCTTGAGGTTGTCAGGTGGCTGCCAAGTGACCAGCTGGCAGGCTATGTCTCCAGGGGCCTCACTTGGCAACGTCCGTTCCCTCTTTTGGCCCTCAGCCTTGCAAGCGTATATTTTGCACTGATTTTATCAGCACTCTGACAGGGAATCCATCTCTCTGGGGAGGACTCACATTAATAAAGCTTTTCAGACTGACATATAAAACCAGGTGCCCAATTATTCATTTACAAGGAGAAATAACTGATGCAAGAACTGGAAAATTTGAAGTCTACATCAGCAGTGCCTTTCATTTTTGATAGTAGAGTTAGTTATACGGGAAGCTAAAGCATAATTCCAATTCCAAGCTATTAATTTGCAATGAAAAATCACTGCCATAGAAACCAAAATACTCACAGCCCAGGTGATGGGCAAATGCTTTCCTTATAGACAAACCCACGTAGGAATCCAAATAAGCCAAAGATGACTTTTAGCACAGAATCAGAACTAGGGAAGGTAGATGAAGCAATGGGACCGGAGTGCCCAGTGTCCATCACCCGCCATTCCCCACATCCCTCCCTTCCTCTCTTAGGGATATCTTTGCCGTTATCGTCAACTAGTCTTTTGTTTATCAGTTCCTCTTCTCCTCTGCATCTGCGACCATCTCCCTCTTCTGACAGATATTTTTCTTCCTTATATAGTAATCACCCCATCAGGATATGGTCAAAGCCTTCAGGTCTGGAAGCCGGTCTGAATCCTTCAGATAAATTTTCCCTTTCATTCTTTAATGAATTTACAAGGGAAAGTCTCATTTCCTTCATGACCAAGTTCTTAGGAGAACTTTGTAATAATAGAAACTGATTTTAGGATCGTCTCCCTGCTATCTCTTGGCTGGCTTCTATGAATTGCTTAATTCCAAATGGATTTATTTCCAGGGGGTAGGGCTGCTGGAGATCAGCCCTTTCAAGACTTGACAAATTTTCACCCAGCCAGCAGACAGACAGCTACTCAGGTTTCTGATTGGTACAAACTCTGAGTGTTGGAGCTGGGAACAGACTATGGAAAGGAGCAAAATGCCTTCCTAACTCCTTTCAGAAAAAAGCAGGCTATTGTTTCACCAGGAGAAGAATGGGAAGCCGTGGGCTGAGGTCTCTACCAGCTCCACCAGCCTTATAGCTTAGCAACAGTTCCTGTCAGATTAAGGCACGTGGCTGTCTGCCAAACGTGGGTGTGAGAGTTGCAAGATTTCTTTTTTCCCTTGAATTTGTGTTTTAAGACAAAGGAGGTTGCATCAGCGATTGCTAACCCAATTTGACCCCCCAAACCAGAAATTATACACAGAATCTCTAAGTTCATGTGTAAACTATCCAAACCTGAAATTTTATCAGCACTGTAGACAAATGCAAGGTATTGCTGTTCCCCTGGCTTCTCTCCCATCCACGTCTGACTTCGGCAGCCTGGGTTTAACACCTCCAAGATGGCAGCCTCACCCACAGGTCGATCTCATGTTGACACATCAACATCAACACGTACCTCCAACGTCCCCCTCCAGGCCCCCATGCAGCATGTTAATGAACTGAGGATGTTACCTGTCTAATTTCAGAAATGGGTCAAGTTTAAGAGAGACTTTCATAATTTCAAGACTCAATGTATTCCCTGGGAAATGAAGATCAAGGACATCGAAAGTGAGTATTTTGGTGTCACTCTTTTTAATTGGTTTACTGAAGAGTTTTCCACAGGCTTAGATTGTGTTCTTGACCAGGTGATTAGATTATTTCTTAGGTTCTGTTGTATAAAAAAAAAAAAATGGGCTTTGGACTAGTCAGACCAAGATTAAAATTGTCCTTCACTTTCTGATTGTGGGAGCTAAGGCAGATTGGTTAAGCCTACATTACCTCAGCTTATTTATCTGGAAAAAGAACATGGAGATCAGGATGTCCGTTCCACAGACTGGGCTTCACAGATTGAATCCATCACATGCATAAAGTGCTCAGTAGTGTTGACTTCCTCCTTCTGCAATACTTAAATTTCACCATCTTTTCTCTCTTGAGGTCATTTTGGTTCTTCAGTGGCATCATATTTCATCTTTCTCCGATGGATGTATGGGGTTAACCTCGTCCTTTTTGGCTTAATATTTGGTCTCGTCATAATTCCAGAGGTAAGAAAAGAACTTCCTATATCTTTGGATAGTGTTGAGGCTCAGCATGACCACCGTCTTCGTTTATGTTAATCAAATACCCTCTGTTTTACAAAGAACCAATCACTGATTTGAAATTCTATTCTCACATCAATTGCCCAGATAGTTCCACACAAAGAATAGAACCAAAACACTTGTGTTTCTAAATTAAGAGATGGATCCTACATTTTTCTACTTGTCATTTTACTTTAAGATCATTTGAGAGTTAATATCTCAGTGAATTTTTTTCTTTTACTCTGAAAACAAGGAACAGAATGCATTATATCATAATTTATTACCAAAAACCCTGCATTTGAATAGCGCTCTTCAGTATTCTCCAGACACAGTCTTGTTATGGATGTAGGCAGATGCTTCCTCATGGATGAGTGATTGAGAGACAAAAAAGGAATAAACACATGGCTTGTGCAAAGTTACACAATAAATTTGTGGTGAATGAGATGCCAGGTCTCCTGAGTATTGGCCTGGGGTCTTTTCCAAGGGTGCCTGTGGTCCACTGAGCGCTGAGCACACTGATTGCTGCAGTCCTGCCTGAACCTCTTAGTGCCGGTGCCGGGTACGCGAGAGGATTTACTTCAACAGCTTTGAGGGTAACGATATGTCTTCATCTAGTATTTTCTTCCTTCCAGGTTTATTAATTGGTTCTATAACACCTTAGTGACCCCTATTTTATTATAAATGGTTCCATGAGCGTATTGGGAGTCCGTTCTATCTGTAATTACATCCTTGGGAAACTTTTCTGCACATCCACTTTTCAAATTGAAAGACTTCCACCGAATGTGAATTAAATCAGACTAGTTGGAAGATGTGGATGGTGTATTGTAATAGTGCTTGGCAGCAAAGTAGTTTTACATTATTTATTAAACCACTGAATTCTTTTCTACCTTACCTAAAAAGTGTGCTTAAATATGTCATTAACTAGCTTTTATACTCCTTTATATTCACACTTGGAGATCAAGGGTTATGAGTCCACTTAGTTTTACATATATTCTTCAGCCATTATCACTCTCCAAACTAGAGATAAGGATTTTTAAACTTTCTAGTAAATTCATGCAAATGCCCTTGCACCAAATCTGGTTCTTCCCAAGGGGAAAATATTGCCAGAAGCTAACTGGAAGTTTCACTTCTTCCTTCCATAGCCAAGGAAGTGTGAGTTTTCCCCGGTAGCTACCAGATTTATTTCCATGAAAAGAGAATATATTTAAATATTGTAGGCCTATGAGACATCACTGGAATTGTGCTAGACAGTGGTCCCAGAGGCTGTCTTCTTAGGTAGTTGAATAATTTTAAGGACACTGAGGTTTTTTTTTTAAGGAAACATTAAATTTTGCATAATTTATGTAAAGTGCTATAATTTATAAATATTTCACATGAGGGGAACATTCGTTTGAAACAATGAAAGCTGAGTGATTGGTCCATTCCAATGAAGCAGCCAAGACCTGAACTGTCCAGGCAAGAGTGCCTTGACTTGATTGGTTGGTGACTTGGAAAGCCATACTGGAGTAGGGTAGGGGAAAGGAGAGAGACAGACAAACAGACAGGCAGAGAGGGCTGACTGGAATGAGGAGCCCCGGGCCAGGAAGAAGGACCACGAGGGGAGAGGGAGAGAGGCAAAGACCAGTTAAGAGCCTATTGCAATAGCTGAGTCCCAGATCAAGGTATTGTCAATGGGAATGGATTAAAAGAGAGGAATTAGAGAGAAGTAGAACAAACAAGACTTGATGACAGGTTGGATAATGGCAGCTGAGAATGTGAGGTGTCCCAAGATGGCTTCCTAGTTAGGATAATATGCAATTGGCCACATGGGAACCAGACACACCAAAACTCACCTTAAATAGAGTAGAAGAGGTGCCCTGTTGGTCAAAGACACGAATAACTTCAGATCCCCAGGGTTTTCAGCATAAGTCTGATGATCAGATATTCCCATGGCTCATGGATGTCTTAAAGCCAACCAGGGTGAATCAGAGGGTCTGAGAATAAGAATATTAGAAGTGCTCAGATGTTAGGCAACTTTAGCAGAATTTCTCCTCATACTCATCTTTCTTTGCCACAAACCCTCAATACCATTTTAATGGAATTAAACAGCTCTGAATGCTAGAATGAATCTTGCTCAGCTTTAATGACAATTGCCTATAGAGCCCAGGATGCCTACATGATCCCTGGGGAGCCCTCTGTTTTATGCTGCAGGAACTGGCTGTCAAGGCTGTACTGGATGTTGAGTTCATGTACTTCTTGTCTCAACATGGAGTGCATGTGAAAATCACATGGGAGGTGTTTTTAAAAATACCAGGTCCTAGGCCCACCCCAATCAGTTGAATCTAAATCTATAAGAGTGTGGTCTTGGCATCTCTATTTTAAAAGTTCCTGTGGTAGGCAGACATCTAAGATTACCCCCAATGATTCCCACCTCCTGGTATTACGTGCTTGTATAATCCCCTCCCCTTGAGTATAGGCTAGACGTAGTGACTCACTCTTAACAAATAGAATATAACCAAAGTTACTGGCTGTCACTTACATGACTAGATTATAAAAAACTATGACTTCCATCTTGCTGGCATTCTCTCTCAATTCCCTTCTTGGCTTGCATGCTTTGATGAAGCAAAAGATAAGAAAAGCCCATCGGGCAAGGAACTGAGAGTGGCCTTCAGAGAACAGCCAGCAAGGAACAGAGGCCCTCAGACCAACAACCCGTAAGGAACTAACTCTTGCCAACAATCACATGAGTGCATTTAGAATCAGATCCTTCCCCAGCCAGACTTTCAGATGAGACCAAAGCCCTGGAAGACACCTTGAAGGTGGCCTGTGAGAGACTCTGAAGCAAAGGACTCACCTAAACCATCCCAGATTCCTGACCCACAGAAACGGTGGGATAATAAATGTGGTTGTTTTAAGCCACTAAGTGTTAGGGTAATTTTTACACAACAACAGATCACTCATACAGCTCTCCAGGTGATTCTAATATGCAGCCAGGGTTGATAATTGCTGGTATACATTAATGAATTAAATTAAATACTTCTTAAAAATACCTTGCAAGCTCTGCTCTGGGGTTAACATAGACAGCATTCAGTCAGTAAGCCTCATATTGATATTTCCTCTAAAAATTATCATTAAAATATTTCAGATATATGGAAAGGTATAAAGAATGAGTCCATTTGCCTACTAGTTAGTTTAAAAATGAAAAATTACAGATACACTAAAGTCCTCTAATTATGTCTCCCCAATTGTATTACCTACACAACCATTACTTGTAATATTCTCCTGAACTTTCCATTTCAATTTACATTTTAAACTGTATTGGCTTAAAGATACACACAGTAGTTTCTTGTTTTTTAAAATCACTTGTGTCTCTGAAGTTATATTCCCTTTTGCATTACAGTGTAATTTTTTCTCTCTCAATTATATTAAAGATTTATCTCTTTTCGTTATTTTGTTAAAGAAACAACTTTGGCTTTGTTGATCCTCTCTGATAGGTCTTTTTTTTAATTCAGGTTTTCTGGTGGGGTATAACTGACATACTGTAAAATCCACTCTTTTTAGATGTACAGTTGGGTGAGTTTTGACAAATATATACAGTTGGTAACCATCACCACAATTGAGCTATAGAATAGTTCCATCATCCCAAAAAATTCCCTTGTGCCCCCTTTGCAAGCAATTTTCTCTCCTTACTTTCAGCCCTTGACAAGCAGTGATCTGATTTCTGTCCCTAAAGTTTTGCCTTTTCCGGAATTTCATATAAATAGAATCATGCAGTGTGTGCGTTTGTGTCTGGCCTCTTTCACTTGGCACGAGATCTTTGAGATTCGTTCATGTTGTTGCCTGTATCAGTAGTCTGTTCCTTTATTGCTGAGCAATATTCCATTGTGTGGATGGACCATGTGATCTATTCACCAGCTCGTGACCACTTGGGTTGTTCCCAGTTTGGGACCATTGTAAATAAAGTTACCGTAAATATTCACATTCAGGTCTTTGTCTTATTTATCTTCATCTTCTATATCATTAATTTCTAGTCTTACTATTTCTTTTCTGCTAATTTCTTTGGGTTGGTGTTAGCTATCTTTTGCTGTGTAACAAAAATATCCCAAATTGTTTGCTGAAAACAACAAACATTTATCATCTCACAGTGTCTGTGGTTCTGGAGGGGCATACCCAGAGCGTTACAAAGACCTGACATTCAGTTTCTTAAACTAGGTAGGGGATACACAGTAGTTAACTTTCTTTTCCTTATAATCAACTCTACATATATGATATAGATAGATAGATATACTACTTTATGTACAATATATTTCCCAATAAGGATATAAACTTTTAAACAAACAAAAAGAAATGAGGGAATTACCTAAAATTGATGAAGCTTTAAATGAAAAAACTAAAGTAATGTTACATTAAATGGTCAAATACTAAAGCCTGTGTTACTAAAAATCAAGAGCAACATGATATGCCCCTGTCCTCACTACTTTTAAACATTATTTTAAAATTTCTACCTAACACAGTAAGTCAAGAAAATTAAACTTATACATTTTGTACAAAAAAATACAAAATTATCTTCGTTTGCAAGTGATATTCTTGTATACCCAGAAAATCCCAATGAGTCTACCAAAAGTTACTTGACTTAATGAAGGAGTATGTTTTGATGGCTGGAGTCATTTGAAATAAACAAACATCAGTGGCATTTTCTACACTCTCAATATCCAGTTTGAAATGAAATTTAAAACTCTCATACTCATGATAGCAATAAATCTATATAATCACTAGTAATAAATTTAACAAATTAGAAGATTTCTATGAGGAACATTATAAAGCACTATAGGATAAAAATACAACTGAATAAACAGGAGGACACATTCTTGGAAGGGAAAATTTAATACCATAAAAAGAAGTCAGGGGCCAGCCCCATGGCCTAGTGATTAAGCTCTGCGTGCTCTGCTTTGGTGGCCCAAGATCAGTTCCCAGTCACAGACCTACACCACTCATCGGCAGCCATGCTGTGGTGGTGACCCACATACAAAATAGAGGAAGATTGGCACAGATGTTAGCTCAGGGTGAATTTTTCTCAGCCAAAAAAAAAAAAAAATAGGTAACATTTCAAGTAAATAAACAATAATTCAGTATTTAAAAAAAAAGTCAATCCTTCCCAAATTGATATGTAAACTTAATACAATTCTGATTTTTTTGTAATTAAGGAGCAAATAAAGGCATATCTATGAGGGTATTAGTAATAGAATCATGTGTACAAGAAGAACTGGAAATACTCTAATGTCCAACGGGGTATTTGTTAAGTAAGTTTATAGTACATACACATGATTAGATATTTTGAAGTCATTTTATTTTGAGAAATACCATATGACATAGGGAATTGGTTATAAAATACTATTAAGCTAAATAATCAGACTAAAATATATATAAAACTCAGAAACAACTGAAAGGAAATACACAAATATCTAACAGTCATTACCTTGGGGATGTGGAGGTGATAGGTAATTTTTAAAATGCTTTTCTCTACTTTTCCACATTTTCTACAATGAATATGTGATACTTTTACAATCAGGAAAGTGATGAATGTTACTTAAAGAAGAAACAATGTGTCCTGCTCTGAGAAAGAAAGTACGTAACCCAGTATCCCAATGTCTCTGTGTGTTTGTATTTCCTCCACGTGTAATTGTGTCGTTCTGTTCCTACATAAGGTACTCATGGGCACGCCCTATGGAAGTATACCCAGAAAGACAGTACCTCGGGCTGAGGAAGAAAAAGCCATGGATTTTTCCGTCCTTTGGGATTTTGAGGTACCATTGTGAACAATGCCAATGTGATACCAAACAAGGGCTCGATCTGCTCATTGCAAGATAAATGGCCAAGAAGGTGCTGGTAGAGAAAGAACTTTAATAAGCAATAAGCCAGCAAATCAGAAGATGGTGGACTACCATCCTAAGAAACCCATCTTAAAGGAAAACTCATTTGGAAATGACTTATATAAGGCAAACAGGGTTGGGGAGGGGGCTCAGGAGTGTCAGGTGATGGATGACCACAGAACGTTGGGCACTTCTCTGTAGCAGATCTGCTGAATGCAACATTCCTGAGGAATCTACGAAAACCTCAGTTACCTCCTTATCTGGGACAGAAGGAACAGTTTGGGCAGAGGACATAAATTCTCTGCTAACAAGTTCTTCTTTCTTTCTACCAGTTACAGATTAGCTTGCCTACATGCAGTTCTAAGTGTTTTTTCCAAAGCACATTGTGAGAATAAGATGAGGAGGGGCCTTGGGGACTGAAGTTCTAAGAGTCCTCTGCGCAGGGGCGACTGTCTGTCATATTTCTTCATGGGTCTCACGTGCAAATTCATGGGGGTTCTACGTGTTGCATGTGGTAGATCTTTAGTCTGGGACGTGTAAAGCTTACAGTTGGTCGCTGTAGCTTCTCCACGCTCCTGTGAGATGCTTAGTCAGGCAGAGGCTGTCATCAAGCTCCTCTCTTACCAGCAGTCCTCCCGCTGTTCTGCTAGGCAGGCTCAGAAACTTTGGTTACTTTCTTTCCCATGTTAACCTTGTGGGTACAGACACAGTTTCATCCTAATGCAGGGAAACGTTAACTCCTTCTTCCTCGGTTTCAAATGCACTTCCATTTTGTGATTGTGAGCCCTAAAGATTGCTTGGATAAGTGTGAAATGTTGCACTGAATTATCAAAAAATCGGGGCTCTAATCAAATAGGACCCCAGCACTATGCAAAACAAGCTAGCCAAACAACAGTCCTCCTTGGTCCTCTTCATGGGTCCTTTCTCCAGGCACACACTCTGAGGATGTGAGTCCCCCATGATGCCAATGGTCCCCTCATTCTGCCAGCTTTATGTATTATGGTCTTACCGTATGGTTTTCTCTCTCCATACCCACATTAAGACCCAGGTCTGTGACTACTCCAGCCTTTCCCCAAGTGTCACATGGCATGTTCAAGTGAATGTCATATCTGCTCTTCAAGTTCAACATCTATCCCACCAAAGCCACGTCTCTTCCCATCTCCTTTACTGCGACCATCGCTCACCCCGTCGTTCACGTCTGAAACCCGAGAGTCATCCTACACTTCTCCCTCTTCCTCACCACCTCCTCCCACATCCAATCAGCCACTAAGTCTGATCCCACTTACTAAATACTTCTTGAATCGGTTTCCTTTTCTCCATCCCCTTTACCTCTCCTTTGAATAATGCCACCACGGTACCAGGACTGCTGTCAGAATCTTCTACCTCTGCTCCTTGTCTCTTGGCTTGGCTTCTAAAATCTCCACTCCCTCTGCTGCCAGGGTGATTTTTCTAAAATGCAAATCTGACCCTGTCTGATATTCAGTTATTCCCGTTCCCAAATGGAATAAAATCTGGAGTTCTTAATTGGGTCTACAAAAGAATGGTTCGTGAGCTGGCTGCTCCCTACCTCTCCAGCCCCATGTCTATTTAAGACCTCACACTTTGTGCCCCAATATTATCAAGCTTGGGGGAAGTCCCTGAATGCAAGACACACTTTTAGTGCCTGCCTGCCTTTGCTCGTGGCTCTACGCCTGGAACACCTCTCCCTCCTTTTGGAATCCCTACACTCCAGTGCCTCTGGGGGGCTTGGTCTGCAGCTGTGAGGAGTCCTGGAGATGGGAGGCCTGGCTGAAGTGGCTCAAGCAACAGGGCATTGCTGCCGCTATCTTTCACTCTCATGGTTAGACTCAAGACCCCTCAGAAACGTGTGAAAGTGAGTTGGAGTGTTTTTCCAAGTCATTTGGAACAGGAGTGGTTCCAAATACTCTGCTCCTAAGGATTAAGGATTTTCTTTGTTGTTTATTTTACCCAACAACCCCTGATGAAACATCCCATTTACCCAAAACAAACTGAATTTATTCAACATTAATCCCATTTTATATTCAACAGACATATAAGTGCTAAAATTCTAAGTTAATATCACACCTAACAAGTATACTAATTTTACCTAAAAATCAAAACCAAAACTTGCAGTTCGGGTTAGACTATGAGCCTTGCCACATAGAGTTTTCTTTAGAAGTTTTGAAATACTGAGATGATTCACAGACTTCTGTCTACTTCTGGAGTGTTAAATTAAGACTCTGGGGCTGGGGGAAAAGAATTTGGAGCTTTATGTACCTGTGCACACTGACTCACACACACACATCTTCTCCTTAATTTGATCCTAAATGTTAACAACACTCCCCTCTCCATCCTGTACCTGTGCACTCTGTACAATGGAGAAATAAAGAGATGGAAGAAAGGAGAGAGGGGGAGACATGGAGACATGGAGAGACTCTGGAGCAACTGAGGGAAGTGAAGGGAAGGACCAGGACATCCAGAACTCTTCCTTCCTCCCCTCAGACTCCTGTTAAAGCCCTGAGAGAAACCCCCGGTAGAATGGACGCATCTGGTGACTGTCTGTGCTGAGCTTGCAAAGCCAGAGCATTTGGGTTTGCTGTCCCACAGGGCTACATCAAGTACTCTCCTCTCTTCTACGGCTACTACAACAACCAGAGGACCATCGGGTGGCTGAGGTACAGGCTGCCCATGGCTTACTTCATGGTGGGGGTCAGCGTGTTCGGCTATAGCCTGACGATTGTCATTAGATCGTAAGTATGACCATCTCATCTACAGGCTTTTAATTTTCTTCACACAAACAGCCCACCCCCATGGTCACTCTGCACCTACTTACCTTCTTATAGGGAATTTAGAGAGAAAACAAGGAAACAAAGCAAATGCGATCGCAAAATGTGGTATAAAAGACATAAACAGGGAAGCGTGGGAAGTTCTTGGAAATGGGATAGAACTCCTCTAGACAGGGCTGAGAACTGCCAGCCACAGTGCAAGTCTGGGGCACGGCATTTTAAACAAAGTGAGGGCATGTGCAAAGGCCCCAAGGTAGCCACTGTCCCAGTGTGTTCCAGAAACTGTCAAAAGGCCAGTGTGGCTTGAGGAGGGGCAGAGTACCTGGTAAGGTAAGCTGGAGAAGTTTGCAAGACTCGTCTCTGCCGTCTCCAGAGCTCAGCTTCCTCAGAAAAACTCTTCTGCCCCTCTGTAACTCCAGCCTGCATGTGAGAACCCAGCCTGGTATTGATGAAGATATAGACAATAAGCCTAAATGAATGCAGGTGGCTGTAATTAACCACGGTGTCCTCTCTGGCCCCAACTCTACCTGTCCTTCTGGCCAGAAATGGCCTTGTAATATGTCTATGGTTCTTAATTGGTAATCTCTAAAGAAAAAATTTGGCCTAGCCCATGAATTGCCTTCTTCTAAGTCAAGGGACCCCAGTCAGTGAAGCTGGGGGGCAGGGCACAGTCTCCTGCACATTCCTGACCACCAAGGCCCACCCACCCTCCAGCAGGGCCACAGAGGTCACCTCTTCCAGAAGAACATGGGAGCCGTGTCTGCAGGAGAGGAGTAGAGCCCTCTGGAAGCCTGATTAGAACCCCTGGAAGGGCAGTGTGTGGGCCCAGCTTGACTTTCTATCACATCGTCTCAGGTGAAAATGCTGCTGTTCACGAGGGCCTGCCCAGCACATGACAGGGACCACTGGGTGGTATGTGGCTGCCCAGCTCCAACAAGCAAAATGGGGGAAAAAACGGGGAGACAGGTTTGGTTTTATTCTTAGCCCTCGTGTTATTACCTTTTTTCCTGCTATTATCCCAGATAAGTATAAGGATACAGAATGTTTCCCCGATGAACCAAAAAGCTAACTTAAGCCAACCAAGGCCCCAGAACAGCGCCTCCTGCTGTTGTATCTGATAGAGCCCCTGCTCAATTCTGTGCTTCTGGCAGGGCTGAGCTCCAGGGAGCACCAAGAGAGGTTGAAGATAGGGAGGATGAAATACATGGGTAATAAGGCAGGTCCAAGGTACTTCCAACCAAGCTTGCTTAAGAAAAGGAAGTGAGTGTTACCTGGTTGTGGTACCAACTGCCTCAGGGCTTATTGGGTTTTATATCAGAAAAAAATATATTTTCTATCCAAGAAAATAGATGAATTAGAAGATGTTCCTGTGTGAGAATAGAGCAGAGGTCTAAAACATTGGCAGATGAGTCAAGCCACAGGAAATCAGATGTCAGAGCAGAAAACATGATTAAGTGTCCTGTATCCTGCAGACTCCTTATTACCCAACGGACACCCCGTGTGCTCGCAGGGGACTCTGAGTTTGGGGGGAAGGCGCCTTGGCTATCATTAGTCCGATTCACATCTGTCTTGGCTCGTTCCCCTCATTGGATGTGTGCTACCTGTGCCCAAGACCAGCTCAGGGTGACGAAGCAGAAAGAGGGCAGATACAACAACAGTGGTGTGCACCCTACAGGATGGCCAGCAACACCCAGGGCAGCACGAGCGAGGGGGAGAGCGATAACTTTACATTCAGCTTCAAGATGTTCACCAGCTGGGACTACCTGATCGGGAACTCAGAGACAGCTGACAACAAATATGCCTCCATCACCACCAGCTTCAAGGTAGTCACCCCGGGCAGTTCCCACTTCCTGGGGGAACTTTGGGTCCCTCCAGTCATTGGGAGACTTCCCCCAGCTGGGGCATTGGAAATAAGATCCCCAAATAATTTGTGGCAAGAGCTTTACCAGAGGGGTGAGCTTAGCTCTCACACCTTCAAGAAAGGATGCTCCTGGCTGGTCCCCACCGTCTGCTTCCTTATATGGTGCAGAATCCCGGATGCTGAGACCTGGTCGTGCCTCTTTCCTTGTGGAACTGTTTTCTGCTGGAGGAAGTGGAAGGACTCCTTTGGGCTGCAGTTCTCAACCTTTTATGCATGTTAGAATCGCCTAAGGAGCTTTAAAAACCTCTGGGATCCACCCCCAGAGATAATGGTATAATCAGTCTGGGACGGGGTCCCGGCATTATTTTTTTTCTAAAGCTCTCCAAGTGATTGGAACACCCAGAAACAGCTGAGAATCCTGGTTTGCAGGTGTGAGAATAAAGGAATCAATTAAGTGTGCAGCTCCACACTTAATTGTCTCGTTAATTTGTTCACAAAAGAGGTGGCCTAAAGAATATAAAATAAAAACAAACCAGAGGGTAAGCAAGTGAGTGAAGGCAGAAGCTGGTACGCTGAAGCACTGCACATCCTGTTTTCTCCTCCTTGGCTGTAAAAACCGTCCAGACTCCGGATATTTCAATATTTCTGCCATCTGATCTGTCAGGCTTTCTTTCCCCCAGGATCTGGCAGAGGTCAGGTTTACGCTGCAGCTGTGCTTGGTTGTCCTGTTTCCTTCCCTCACCTCTCTCTCTGCCCTCCCTGGGAGGAGACGTGGGCTGCTGCCCCCTGACTGGTGCCTACAAATAGCAGGTACACCTGCCAGGGACAGGACCTGGGCTCGGCGGCTCACTCTATGGCTTTCATGAGCCCGAGTCCAGTCGGCTTGGCAGAGGGGGGAGCAAGGAGCTGCCTCCTTCCCTGCTCACAGCAGTGGGGAGCCTCTGGCGGAGCATCCAAGGGCAGGGTGGGGGTCAGTGGGGGCTCTGACTCTTCCTCCAGAGACAAAAAAGGTCAATGCCTGTGAAGCACTTTGAACAGGTGGCAAGGAGATGGCTTCTCCCCTGAGTCTATTAAAAACAGAGATCATACATTTACACAGCAGGGTGCGTGTTGTGAGAACTGTGTGCATTAATGTGTATTCACTGCCTGATGAGTTACTTAAACCTGAACCTGAACACAGTAACTGTTAATTGCTTGGCAAAGTCTCCTTCCAGGTGCTTTGATGTCCAGGAGACCGCGTTTTCCATCCTGGCTCTGCCATATGCTGTTTGTGCCTTCATAGAGTTACTGATATAGGATACAAAGTTAATAATTTAAAAATCCATCATATTTTTATGTACTAGCAGCGAGCAATTAGAAAATAAATTTTTAATTCCATTTACAATAAAATTATGTAAATTACAAAATATTTTTGGGCATAGATTTAGCCAAAATAAAAAAGTGCAAGACTGCTGTACCAAAAAGTACAAAACATTGCTGAAAGAAATTAAGAAACTCTAAATAAATGGAGAGATATACCATACTCATGGATTAGAACAGGGGTCAGCAAACTCAGGCCCAGGGTCCAAATCCAGCCAGCTGCCTATTTTTGTAAATAAGATTTTGTTGAAACAAAGCCATGCCCATTTATTTATATGTTCTCTGTGCTTTCTTTCATGCCACAGAGGCACAGTTGAGTAGTTGTGAGAGAGACCACATAGCATGCAAAGCTGAAAAGATTTACTATCTGTCTGGCTTTTTATAGACAAAGTTTGCCAGCCCCTGGGTTAGAAGACTCAATATTGTTAAGATTCAATTTTAATCTATTTGATCTGTAAATTTTTTTCTTTTTTTTCTAAAGATTGGCACCTGAGCTAACATCTGTTGCCAATCTTCTTTTTTTTCCTTCTCCCTCCCTCTCCCCAAAGCCCCCCCAGTACATAGTTGTATATTCTAGTTGTTGGTCCTTCTAGTTCTGCTGTGTGGGATGCTGCCTCTGAATGGCTTGATGAGCGGTGCCATGTCTGTGCCCAGCATCCAAACTGGCAAAACCCTGGGCTGTCGAAGCAGAGTGCGTGAACTTAACCACTTGGCCACGGGACCGGCCCCTGATCTATAAATTTAAAACAATCCAAATCAGTTACTGAAATTTCTCTGGGCCTAGCTGTCTATAATGTGAGTAATAATAGTAACTACGCTATTGGTTTGTTGTTGGGATTAAGAGGGATAATGCATGGCAGGTGTTCAGCACCACATCTGGCACACAGTAAGGATTCAATAAATCGGAGCTTTTGTCGTTACATGTACCAAAGAAACAGCAACAACAAAATACATTTTCTTAAGGAGAAAACTAATTCTCCCCAGGGCAACACTGCCTTACATCACCCGCTCTGGATTATTCCGTTTGTGGAAATATAGAAAGTAGTAATCTCAGAAGCCCAGTAACAGTGGTTCCTGTTGGTTCGTGCCCTGTCATTATTCACTTCTCATTTTCACACATCAAGGAATCAATAGTGGATGAACAAGAGAGTAACAAAGAAGAAAATATCCACCTGACGAGATTTCTCCGTGTCCTGGCCAACTTTCTCATCATCTGCTGTTTGTGTGGGAGCGGGTACCTCATTTACTTTGTGGTGAAGCGATCCCAGGAATTCTCCAAAAGGCAGAATATCAGCTGGTATGAAAGGAATGAGGTAAGGAGGGCATCTCTGCTGAAGTGAATGTGGTGGGCAAATACTGAAATTATGCTGGTTTCCTATGCCATGTAGCTGAATTACTGAAAGTCTGGATTATAGGACTCTTTTTAAAAAGTGAAATTACATCCCTTTCCAGTCAAGTAGTATGAACATCTTGAAAAAGAGTTGCTTGTCACTTGGCTTCTGTAGCTGGATAAAGCTGGATTTAATTAGCATGTCAGTCAACTGAATAGCCAGTTGTCTTAACACCAATTATTAAAAAGGTGACCCTTTCTTCACAGCTCTACAGTGCCATATATCACAAATCAAGCGTCTATTATTGTGTGGGTGTGATTCTGGGCTCTCTTTTCTATTCCATTGGTCTATTTGTTCCTGCACTAATAACACACTGATAAACTATGGCTTTGCAGTATGTCTGATATCTAGTAAAGGGAATTCTCTCATTGAGATCCACAGTAAAACATGTTACAGTTTTATCGTGATTATACTAAATCCATAAATCTCTTTGGGGAATTTGACATTTGTGGTAGTTGACAAAAATGGCTACAAATTCTTCCCATCCTTGTATGCGCATTTCTTTGCAACGTGATTTTCTAGCTCCTCCTATGAAGAGGTGGAATCTGTTCCCCTGTTCCTTGAATCCAGCTGGACTGGGACATGTGACTTGCTTTGCCAATGGAACAGTAGCAACTGTGATACAAGCAGACTTGAAAAGTGCTTGTGTTATCAGGACTTGTGCCTTGGGAACCCTGAGACTTCCACCATGTGAACAATCCCGGGCTGGTCTGCTCAATGATGAGAAACACGTGGCTCACTTATCTCAACACTCTAGGTGATAGCTAGTCAACCAGACATGTGAATGAAGCCATCAACCATCAGTTGCCCATAGATTCATGAATGAATCCAGGTGAGACCAACAGAAGAACCACCTGGCTAAGCCCAGAAAAAAATAGTGACCAACTGAATCATAAGCTAAATAAATTAAATAATAAGAAAAAATCTATCTCCTCCACAAAGCAAGAGAGGACAGAAAAAGATATATGAAACTAGTAGGACAAATATAAAGCACAAATCAGATAGATTTAAATCTAAATATATCAGTGATTACAATAAATATAAATGAATTAAAGCTACAGTTTAAAGGCAATAATAATCAGGATGGATTTTTAACAAGCTGCATGCTTTTTACAATTAACTCATCTAAAACATCAGATCACTAAGCTGTGAGAGGGATACAAAAGATGCCCAGGATGGATTCTGCCCTTAAGCGGATTGCAGTTTCCCTAGGAAGCAGATTTTACAAAAATAAACCAAAACACAAACGAGTAGGCAAGAATAAGGTGGTCAAATAAAATGTTTTGAGTTACAGATGTGTTGCAGGTAAAAAAGTCCATGTGAGCTGGAGGGACAGGAAGGTTTTGTGGCAAAGGTAGGAATTAGGCTGAGCATTGGACGAACGTGTAAAAGAAAAGGGCAGTGGTGGATGTGGGGCAGTGATGGCTCTGGAGGTGGGAAGAACGGCAGGAGCAGGGGCGGGGGTGTGAAGGTGATAAGAAGCCATGCCAATGGTCAATGCGAGAGAGTGTGGGAGAGTCAGGACCAGAAGTGTTGACCAACCTACAATTTGGTCAGCAGTTCAAGAATTGACTCTCCATGGGGGTGATCAGTTTAGTTGCAGAGAGAATGTTCTCTTTCGATCAGGTTCAGTTAAACGAATCAGGATTCTCCTAAAATCAGAACGAAAATTGAGTGCTTACCACTTACCAGGCTCTGGGCTAGTAGATTTACATCCATTATCTCTTCTGACTCTCACAATAAGGACTGTCATCACCGTTTTATACATGGAGAAATATGAAGCTCAGAGAAGTCATATAACTTTCCTAAGTTACAAAACCAGCAAGTGATAGAGCTGGGACTCAAACCCAGACAGCTGACTCCAAATGCCACCCTCTTAACCACATCCCTCTGCTGTTGGTTCCCTTCTGCGATCTGACCTTCCTGTCCTCCGTGCTCCTGAGATAAGGGCTATCACTGTGACTCCTACCTGGCTCACAACTGTTATAGAACAGAAAGCACTGTCCCATGTGTTAATTCACTTGCTTCTCAAAGAAACTTTGCTATTTTTGCCAATACTAATAACAAAAATCGTGATAGCAACCAGTCGCAGAGCAATTATGATGCGTGGGACATAGGTTGACTGTTCAGGGCATGCTGGTGCCTTGGCTAGGGTCACACAGCAAGTTGTGGGACCCCAGGGCATCTCCAGGGGCAGGGGAGGAGGCAGCAGGCAGATGGAGATGCCTAGCCCTGAGGGTACGGGGATGGTGGCCCAGCAAGTGATACTGATGACGCAAGGAATGCAGGCTTTCCTGATTTCTCAGGTAGAGATCGTGATGTCCCTGCTTGGGATGTTTTGTCCCCCTCTGTTCGAAACCATTGCTGCCCTGGAGAATTACCACCCGCGCATTGGCCTGAAGTGGCAGCTGGGACGCATCTTTGCGCTCTTCCTGGGGAACCTCTACACGTTTCTCTTGGCCCTGATGGATGATGTCCACCTCAAGGTAAAGACCACAAGCTCCCCCCAGTCCCTGGTGCCCACCCAATTTCCCTTTTAAAAATATAATAATTTCCTTATATGTAATTTATATTAAAGAATTTTTGGAAAGTTCAAAAAAGTAAAATGAAAAAAAATCCCCAGAATCCTATGACCCCGAAACAACCATTGTTAACATTTTGCTGCAGTTTTTCACCGTCCTTTTCTTAGGTTGTCTTTTTCACATCCTGTACTTGTCATTTGGTACCCTTAGTATATTATCTGCAGCCTTTCCCATATTGTTTCGTAGCTGCCATAAATGTTTACCAGCCGGGTGAATGTCCGTCGAGGTGATATGTCATGGTTAACTTAACCTTTCGTCACTGCTCACCGGTCGGTTATGGAGCACTCACTATGTCAGGCCCTGGGGGTACAGCAGAGAACAAGACACAAGGTGTCTTGTGTCTTTTTCCAAGGGTGTTCACGCTCTAGAGACAGCTCATTCATTACAGCATGCTGCAGGATATGCTTCAATGGGTGCAAACCCAGGGCAGCATGGCAGTGCGTAGGAGGGGCTCCAGAACCCCCCTGGGGAATCTTGGCAGACATTGGGAAAAGCAGAGGGAACAGCTGGTGCAAACAGGGAACTCAGGATGGCTGAACAATGGAGTGGAGGAGAAGAAATGAAAACTGAGACTGGGGGCAGGGCTAGATGATGCTTCTCCTCCATCCCTCCCTCCTCATTATTGAGCAGCATGGACTTTTCCCCGAAGTTAACAGGAAGCTATTGGAAGGTTCCAAGCATGGAAGTGACTGGATCTGGCCCTGCCCTACCCTTCCACTCTCACCTCTAGCTTCCCTCCCGCTGCAGCAGACTGTTTCACCCTTCCTGAGCCTCACATTTTCTCCACGGGGCAAAATCCTCTCCTCCCTCTCTCTCCATCCTTCTTCCATTTTTGACTAGTTGGCTAATCCTCCCTGAGGTTTTGGCTCAGGGGTCACTGCCTCCAGGGAGTCTTCCATGGCCCCCACTGTTTGATGTGGATATTCCTCCGTCCCAGGGAGCATTTCCCACAACTCTTATCACTCTGTTCTGTGACTGTCTCTGCTCATCTCTGTCGCTCACTAGACTGTGAACTTTCTGAGGAAAGCCCCATCTCTCTTGTTCAGTCTTATATCACTGCTGCCCTATTTGCTCCGGATTGACCCTGAATAAGTTATTCTCAAAAGAAGAACGAGTGATTGGATGGATGGATGGATAGATGGATGGATGAACAGAATACCTTAGAGAAGACAAATTCATGGAAAAGACCCAATGACTTCAACCAGCTGCCCCCTTCTCCTATACAGATTGAAAGGCTGGGGAGAGCATTTCTGCAGAGACTCTGTTGAGGGGTAGGGCAGAGGCTAGGTGGTGGAGTGATAGCAAATGCTGGCTTTAATTGTTGTTCCTGTGGAAATGGTTGGACTGTGCCTGGCTCCTTCTAACCCCACGTCTCTATCTTCCATTCTAGCTTTCTAATGAAGAGACAATAAAGAACCTCACACACTGGACCCTGTTTAACTATTACAACTCCTCAGGTTGGAATGAGAGTGTCCCCCGGCCGCCCCTGCACCCTGCAGATGTGCCCCGGGGTTTGTGCTGGGAGACCGCCGTGGGCATTGTGAGTAATTATGCTCTCCTGAAAACACGATCCCTATTCTCAGCTCTTTGTTATTCCTTCCTTGATGTTTCCATTTTTAAGCCACTGAAATGTCCATCCAGTATTTCTTAGGATAGTTCCACCTTTTTACTTTCCTTTTTTTTTTTTTTTAACGTCCCACATGTTTTTCTCTATGCTCCATTCATTAATCTAATACCACTGGATTTATTTAGAATTTTACTGCAGATTTCACTGAAAACCTAAGGTTCTCCACCTGGAAATCATGAATAAATACTTCAAAAATTGGATGAAGGATTTTGCATGTATATGCATTTGTGCATTTTTCTATAAAGAGAATTAATGGTTTTCATTAGAGTCTCAAAAATTAACAACTACCATTTCCCTTATCCACTTTCACATGGTTCCTGTGGCTTGCACAGTGTGGACTTCAAAGTCTAGTGTTCTTTGCCTTCCCAGGCAGGAACTTGAAGCATTCATGGGTAACACAGGGATCAAGTGCCTTCTCTTCCTCAACTCCAACTCTTTTCACGGCATTTCTATTCCTCTGCCACCCCACTGAGATGCAGAGTTTGTTACTTTTACATGGGTACCCTGAAGAATCCGCTCACCTAGGGCATTAGACAACAGTGTTGTTAACTGAGGGTGATGAAGTACTGCAGAGGAGGGGATTACATCACACACGCCATTGAACACTGCCGACAAGTCCCCCAGCAGATATTTTCCCTGCTCTTTCCCATGGATCCTGGGGCCCTTTTCTCCCCAGGCCCTTCAGGGAGGGCTCAGGCTCATCATTACTTGTCTCCTCCAGCCCAGATTCTCCCATACTCTACAAATCCTCCTCATCTTTAATGCGCAGAGCAATTCAGCTTCCCCAGTTCCTGCAATTCTAAACCCATTACAGTGTATAACAAAGATTCTTCAAGTCAATAAAACCCACCTCCTTTAGAAGGCAGAAGAGAGTTTTTTACCTACAGGATTCCTTTGGAATATTCTGCTGTAGAATTTTGCATTTCCTGCCTCACATCCTTTGACGTCATCCCTCTTGCCCTCCTCCCTGAATGCCCACCACTGTTCCCATCACTGATTAAAGCTTGTTTCTTTCTGAGTTTGTTGGTAATGATGAATTTGAGGCGTTATGTCCTCTCACCTATATCCTCCACCACCTCCACCCTAGGCTCCAGAGCATCACTTTGCACAGAAGTGGAGACCTCATACATGTTGATTTGTCTTTTACTTAGGAGCATTAACCTGAATTCTTATTGAAGAATAATCCCCAAAACTCATCACCTGTTCACCCAGCGAACATTTATCAGCCATCTTGGAGGACATAAAAACGAGTAAAGTAGACCCTGTGCCCCCCAGGACCTCCAGGTCTATTAGATGTCTTAAAGGTTGTGATGATGTCTGGCAGATCTTTCCAATTTTTCAAAAGAAATTTAAGAAATGATTTGTACTCTACAAAGCAGAGAAAGCTTCGTTCCTTTGCTTTTGACTCTTCTGCTATGTGCCTCTGTGAAAAATCTGCATTATTTTCTCTATATGCCAAAAAAAAATCCAATTAGCAGGAGGTGAAGAAAGCTGGCTGTCATCCCCAGAGGCGATGATCAGATTCAGTCTTAGCTGGGGCAGAGGGCGCTTCAGAGCAGGTGGGGGAAGCAAGAAGTAAGCCTTCAGACCCTATATCTGTGCAATAGTGCTGATAACTACCAAGCACTAGGCATTGCCAATGTGCCAGGCAATTTGCACACATAATCACTGAGCTTCCCAATAACCCTGCAAAGTTAATATCATTATCAGCTTCGAGAGGTTCAGAGATTATTCCAAAGCAATACAATTAGTAAACTGTGGAGCTGGGACCTAAATTAAGCATTTTCCAAAGCCTGGGGTCCTTTCTCTGCCACCAAGAATCAGAAGGTCACAGAGAAGAATTCAGGTGGGTGGGGGAGAATTTGCATGGCAGCAATCAGCTGGGAGAAGAGGACAAGGTCAAATCCTGACCCCCCCCTTTTCCTGTGTTCCTCCTTGCAGGAATTCATGAGGCTGACGGTGTCCGACATGCTGGTAACGTACATCACCATCCTGGTGGGGGACTTCCTGCGGGCTTGTTTTGTCCGGTTCATGAACTACTGTTGGTGCTGGGACCTGGAGGCTGGATTTGTAGGTCACCATTTCACAGATATTCCACAGCAGGGCATTTCAACCATCCCCTTTGACATAGTCAGATGTATTCTTGTGCATTTCTTTAGATACTTAATGCCAGTCTCCACTCTGTGAAGTAGTGAAGTATTTCATCTGTATTTCCTTTAAGGGTCCTCTATGCCTTCTTAGAGGAAACTGCTTTTTCCCAAAGTAATTAACAATGTGACTTTCTTATCTGAGAAATGGAGCCATTTGGCCTTGGGAAACGTGGACCACACTCTTCAGTGCTGAGCAGATGGTTGGGTAGAGAAATGCCGAAGCAGCATCAACTCTTGTTAGGGAAGGCAAGAAACACTAGACTTGGAAGTCCATACTGTGCAAGCTACAGGAACAATAGTGAACGTGGATAAGGGGAAATGGTAGTATTTAGTTTCTGAGACGCTAAGGAAATCCTAGAGTGGGGGAGGGCAGATGTGGATGTGAATGTTTCAGAAAGTCCTGGAACGCACCAAGAACACAGTACCCATTGGTGCCGCCTTCTGCATTAGGCTTCGAGAAAACTCTGTGACTCTTATTCCCTCCACCTGGGATGCTCCTCTTCCCCACCTACGTGAGAAAGTGCTCATTCTAAACGAGTGTCATTTCCTCTCTGTTGTTGCCATCTATGATCTGGCAGAACCTCTGGCCTCATCTGTCCTGTGTGTGTCTCTCCCACAACACCTCACTCACTCACCCAGTAGTCACTGGTGTGTTGGTGAGAGGAGACCCCCCCCCCCTTAACTAGTCTCTATGCCTTGTTTACTGTGTCGTCCACATCGTGGCCCAGGTAAGGGCCCCACTACAAGTTTCTGTTGGATTTTTTTCTTTTCTTTTTTATTTCTGAGGAAGATTCGCCCTGAGCTAACATCTGTTGCCAATCTTCCTCTTTTTGCTTAAGGAAGATTCGCCCTGAGCCAACATCTGTGCCAATCTTCCTCTATTTTGTACTTGGGTTGCCACCACAGCATGGCTGCCGATGAGTGGTGTAGGTCTGGGCCGGGCTACCAAACCTGGGCTGCCAAAGTGGAGCACGCCAAACTTAACCACTAAGACATGGGGCTGGTCCCGTATTTTTTTCTTTTAGTCATCAGGCACAGTTTTACACAAAAGCCTACTCAACTCCTCCCCAGCAGCAAGGAGAACTTTATAATCTTATCTGAGAACAAGGATGCCAGAAGCTGGTGCTCAAAGAGGATGGCATCTTTAATAGGAAGACACCACATTGCCAAGATGTCATTGCCCTCAAATTAATTTATAAGTTCAGCAAGATCTCAAAATAACACGAAAGTTCATTTAAAAAATAAGCATGTGGAAATAGCCAGGAAGATTTTTAAGACAGCAAAATGAAAGGGACTAGACCTACTTTTATATTAAAACATATTATGAAACTATAACAACTAACACTGGTACTAGGGAAGAGACAAACTTATCAATGGAACAGACTGAAAATTCCAGAAATCGGTACAATCTACAGGGAAATTTGGTTTATGATAAAGGAAGTCTTTCAAACCAGAGGGAAAAAGGAGGATTATATAACAAGTGGTTGAGACAACTGGTTAACTGTTGGAGGGGGAACTATATCTCGCACTCATTTCACCTAAGTAAATAAATTGTAGGTGAGGGCTAGCCCCGTGGCCCAGTGGTTAAGTTTGGCGCACTTTGTTTAGGCGACCTGGGTTCATTCCCAGGTGCAGACCTACACCGCTCATTGGCTGCTGTGCTGTGGTGGCAGCCCACATATACAATAGAGGAAGATTGGCAACAGATGTTAGCTCAGGGTGACTCTTCCTCACCTAAATAAATAAATGAATACATAAATAAATTGTAGGTGAATCAAAGTTTTAAACATCAAAAAATGAAATCATAAATTCCTAAAAGAAAGTGTATATAAACTTATAATCTTGGAGTGAGGAAGATTTTTCTAAGCGAGACACAAAACCCAGCAGACAAAACATTTTTAAAAATATTTTAAAATGTTAAGTTTTAAATTCCCAGGATTTAACCCTCATGTAATTGGATTATGTGTGTTTCCTCCTTTGATCCCTGCTTGCCCCACCTTCCTTTCTTTCTCTTCTAATTTCTCATTCCTCCCTCTCATTCCTGTCACTCTGTCTTCATTTCTGGAAGACAAATTGGGAAGTTGGTTTAAGCACACTTCATTAGGGCCCCCAGCTCACCTGTGCTCACAAACTCTCTTCCTTCAAATATTTGACAGATCTCCAAAACTCTGATAACACGAACCTGGCTGAGCTCTTTCTTTTCCATGAACTGCTCTCAGGCTAGAGGAAGACGAGAAAGAGAACAGAAAATTGGAGGAGTGATTTATTTACTTGTTTGTTTGTTTTTAAAGCTTCCTTTTCATGTGATTCTCATTTAATTATTTGCTTTTCATGATTTATAGAGTCACTCCTTGATTATAATGTCAAGGTCCATTCCTGATTAGAGGATTGATAAAATGTTCTCTTAGGGTCCGGGGTCCTCCCAAGAATACACTGTCAGGCCCTAAAAGGTAAAAATTCTCACTTTTTTAATTGAAAAAAGTTTCAACTTTGAGAACTTCAAAACTTTTCTTTAAAAGTTGAAAACGTGTTAAAGAAATAGAACCCTTAATCTAAGATTCCTTTCTGGTCGCCACAGCAGGGTCTTTGGGGTGGAGTAGCCCTGGCTTGGCCAGTTGGCTGGTAATGGTAATGGGGTCTGGCTGATCCCACCTAACAGCTCTCTCTCTCTCTCCCTCCCTCCCTTCCTCCCTCCCTCCCTGCAGCCCTCATATGCTGAATTTGATATTAGTGGCAACGTGCTTGGTTTGATCTTCAACCAAGGAATGATCTGGTGAGTCATCCCTTTCTTCTGGGGATTACCTCATTCGGGGAGTCAAAAAACTGGAATCCCAGGCTTTACCCCTCAACTAACTGGGGAGAGGCTGGACAAACCCTCTGGCCTCTCTGAGCCACCTTCTTTAACATAAAAATTGGAAGGCAGAGCTAGATGAGAACCAGGGCAGTGTTTGGCCCATCCACGTGCTACCAAGGACTTAGAGAGAGAAGGAGGTAGGCAGAGAAGGAAAAAAAGAAGGAACAGGGAGGAGAGAAGGAAAAAAGAAGAAAAGAAAAAGTGGGGAGGGAAGAAAGGAGGAGAAGGAAGGAAGAGAGGGAGGAGAAAAGGAAAGGCAAGAAAGAAGGAAGGAGGGAGAAAATGGAAGGAGAGAGGAAGGAGGTAAATGAACTAAGGAACTTCCTCCTCTGAGAAGGGAGTTAGAAAAAGCTGCACAACTTGAGCCAAGGACTTTCAAGATGCCAAGGGCTCGCCAAAGCCAACGCCCAATTCTCCTAATGTAAGGACTTCAGATACTTTTCTGAGCAGCAATGCTGTGTTAGAGAGACCGTGGAGAAACAGACGGGAGGCCGTGTAATTTGCTAGATGCCTAGTGGTGAGCCAGTAATGCTCAGAATGTCTCCCTCTCCTGAGGAATGGACGCCGATGGCTGGTGATAAATGTCCCGGTTAGGTGGGAGGCCCCCTCCCTTGGACCTGCAGAGAAAGCAGCAAGGCCTCATGCCCCTAACCCATCAATCCCATTTCCTTCTGTCATTCTTCCCTGGCCTCTCCTGCTGCTGGGCCAACCAGGTGTGCATTTTCTGCCCTTCCAGGATGGGCTCCTTCTATGCCCCGGGTCTGGTGGGCATCAACGTGCTGCGCCTGCTGACCTCCATGTACTTCCAGTGCTGGGCAGTGATGAGCAGCAATGTCCCCCACGAACGCGTGTTCAAAGCCTCCAGATCCAACAACTTCTACATGGGCCTCCTGCTGCTGGTGCTCTTCCTCAGCCTCCTGCCCGTGGCCTACACCATCATGTCCCTCCCACCCTCCTTTGATTGCGGGCCATTCAGGTGCACAGTCTTGGTTGCATGGGAGCAGCTCCTCTGCCAGGGCAATCTGCTCAGAGAGCACTGGCTAGAATGCCAGGTCTGGTTTCATGTCAGCCTTCAAAAGGCCACAAAGCTTTGGGCAAATCATCAGTGCTGTTCAATAGAGCTATCTGCAAGGATGGAAATGTTCTATGTCTGTGCAATCCAATATGGTAGCCACCAGCCACATGTGGCTATTGCGCTCTTGAAATGAGGAGCAAGAAACTGAATTTCTAATCTTATTTAATTTTAATTAATTTTAATTTAAATAACCACACATGGCTAATGGCTACCCTATTGGACAGCATACCTCTAAGCTTTTAACATATGAATAATCTACTGCCCTGGATTACCTTACCACAGGATAAGTAATGGGGGATATGAGTAACAGGAGAAGATGAAATGACGGTACATCTACAAGTGCCATTCAAATGTGAAGCAGCTACTGAGAGCTTTCACTGGGCCCCCTTGCTCTGTGGAGCACTTGCCAGCACTCGGGGTTCAGGGTATAAGTCAGATTAGTTTAGGAGACCAGACATTGTATAAAGAGATAAATAACTATATAAGGAGGTAGACTGAGAAATAATGGGATCTACTGCTCTCTTTCCAAATGTGAGACCCTCTGAAAACAAAGCCCTCTCTCTACTCCATGAAAAGAGGTTCTGTCGTTCAAGAAGTTTGGAACATGCTGCCCCTGTTATCTGCTACCTTCTTGCTTAGAAATGCTCGATGCACACTTCTTTATTAAAGGCTCAGAAGAATTGTGCAATAAGATAACGTGTGCAAGCCAGTGTTTCCATCCTTATTGACCCTGTCTTCATGTGACACCCATTCAGGGCTGGGAGTAGGGTGAGGTGAGTGAGGCCCCGATCTTGCACATGCAGGACCCTAAGAGTGAGCACCCCAGCAGTACTCTGCACCCCTGGGCCCCACCCGCCTCACTCTAGGCCCAGCCCTGCCTACCAACGCAGATTAGCACACTTTGGGAACTGCTGATGTGGTACTTCTCAGGGACTTTATAAGAGACTTATGTAAATAAAGCCCTGTGGTTGGTGCCCCACAGTGAGTGCGGAGAAAGCTCAGAGGAGACAGACATTACCAGGAGTGCTCACAGCAGGGTGTGGTCTGGCTGAACAGGGGTTCAGACAGAAGGAAAGGGGGGCTAGGTCTAGAGTAGAAGACAGTGCTGAGCTGTAGAAGGCCTGGGGTGCCAGGCTGCAGGGAGAGCCACATGGAAGAAGCTTCGCTTGGCTTCCTCCTGAGCAAGGTTTGGAGGGCCAGGCCCTGGGTACAAATGCCAGTGCCCCTTTGCTCAGGCTGCCCACCTGTCCCAGGCAGGAGGCGAGTGACTGGGCCTGTGCCGTGCCTGGCCCTCGCCATCAACCCCACCCTTGCCTCCTCTGCTTCTCTGAAAGGCCCTGACAGCCCATACCCAGAGAGCAGGGGGAGGGACCTGAAAATGGAACTCAGAAGGAAGATGGCTCCACCTCCGTCCTGTCACTCTTCTGATCAAAACCTGCCAATGGCTGGAAACTTCATCCCTCAGATACTTTCACAGCTGTCCTCTCACTTTCTTCAGGTCTTTTCTCAAAGACCATCTTCTCAGTGAGGCCTTCCCTGGATACCCTAACTAAAATGTCACACACACACACACACACACACACACATACTTCTTATTGTTTCCTTTTATCATATCACCTTATCACCATCTAGCACGCCATTCCTCTTGCTTATTTATCCTGTTTGTTGCCTGTATCCCTCACTAGGACATAAGCTCCATGAGGGTGTGACTTTTGCTTTCTTTCTCACTGCTTTATATCCACTGTCTAGAAGAGAACACCTGGTTTATGGTCAATGCTCCAACTACACCCTTCACCTCACAGAAATTCACCTTTACAGGGAGGGACTTGGGTTTGGACCGGATCAAATGCCTATAGGGGCCAGGCAGGCAGCATAAATGAAGGAGGTGAGCATTACAGGTGAGCATGGAGTTAAAAGCACGGGTCGGTAAACTACAGCCCCTGGACCAAATCCAGACCACCACCTGTTTTTGTAAATAAAGTATTATTGGAACACAGCCACATCCATTTGCTTACATATAATCTGTAGTTGCTTTCACAACACAACAGCAGAAATGAGTAGTTGTAACAGAGAACATCTGGCCCACAAAATCTAAAATCCAGCCCTTTTCAGAAAAAGTTAGTGTACTCTCTGACTTAGAGCATAGACTCTAGAGCCAGCTCTGTCATTTGCCAGCTGGGTCATCTGGAGCAGTTACTTAGCTCCCTGCGCCACAGGTTCATTGCCTGTAAGATGGAAATAATGGTAGTACCTACATCACAGGGTTGTTATGAGGATTCATAAAGCACTTAGAGGAGTGTGCTAGTGAGGCAGATATACGCGTTTGTTAAGCCTGAACCCTGCCCAAATTGGGAGTAGCTGGTTCTCACCTCCAGCCAATTGTTACCATGAGGAACATGGACCCAGTATTACCAGATCTTCATAGAAATCTGAACTTTTATTTGAAACCCCCTAATATTTTTATTACAGCAAGTAATTCAAGGGTTTTAAAGAACAAAAATACTATACCAATGCACAGAACAAATCTGTGGACGTTGGCCAGCATTTCACCTGTGTGTCCTCCCAGACAGAAGCTATAGGTATGCAGGTCTGCACGTAGCCAGAGATACAGAGCCACTGTCTCCTGCCTAGGTCATGGAAGGGTAAGGCTGGGAGAGAGATTGGTGCTTGACCATGGGCTCAGGCTTTTCCTGTGGCCAGTGAACCAAGAACCAGCTAGACTTCTGGAGCCAACTTAGAGAAGTCTTTTATTGCATTCAGCGCACCAGGGCATACTGATCGCTTTTATGAGTGGTAGGAGAGAGCACTCACGTCTATTTCAAATTCCTTATTGATTCATTCATTCATTTTTGAGGGAAGAGGAAGAGCTATCCCAAGAAACAGAATATAGGGAAGCACTGCAGATTCCAGTCCCTCAATATAACTCACAGGAGAGAAGCAGAAGATTATAGCTGCCAATAAATCCCCAGATTCACTTCAGTCTGTATTCGTGGCCCAAATCTCTCTAATGTTTTTACTTCTGAGGAGGATAGGAGCTGATTTGAACTTCCTTTCTCTTCTCTTCCTGCCTTTGTTGAAATTCTATCAACAGTCCTCATAACTGGCCAGAATGAGGTAGGGAAGGAGGAAGAAAGGTGCCAAGGACCCTGAGAATCCCACACACTTTTCAGCGAAGAGGGACAGTGGTGGTAACGAGGGGGTAGCCAGGGTGTTTTGAGTTCCTGGTTTGTGCCAGGCATCGCATGAGGCACCTGTTTAATCCTTATAATAATCCTACAAGGTAGGAGGCATTATCTACACCAAGGGTCAACCGACTCTTTTCGTAAAGAGCCTGATAGTAAATATCTCAGGCTTTGCAGATCAAGAGGCAAAATCAAGAATATTATGTAGATATTTATATAACAAGAAAGAAACTAATGCCCACAAAGTTTTTATTGACAAAATTCAAAATATGATCATAATAGAGTATAATTTTTTATAATACAATGAGAAGAATGGAATTCTTTCTTTAGGGGGTTGATAATACTTCACATAATGGGGGTTCAAAGTTATTGTTGCCTATGATCAAAAATCAGTGTACTCCCCAGTTTGCCACCTCTGCTGCTGGTCCATCATTGTACCAGACGTGGCAACACATCTCCTACCAAAGGAAAAAGATCACCATAAAGCTTTACTACTGCTAAACCGTTGAACTGTGCAGTAGGTCAAGTCAGGATGTTCAGCTTCTGTTTCTGACAAAAAGGTACAGATACGAAAATGATTAAGTCAAGAGAACGAATGAAGATCACCAGTGACACGATTGATTTCATTGCACATGATAGATTCAAATATTTTCTGCAAACCACCTACTGATGAATAAGACAATGATTAACCATAGTCTGTAAACACCTAATGTTTCAAAAGCTTTGTAAGTCTGTCCAGCTCAGCCTTTTCCTACTCTACACATATTTGGACCAGTATCAGTTGTAGCGCATCATAGCAGGTCCCACTTCAGGTTGTACTGAATTAGCATTTTATCAATTTCTTTGAAAATATTCTGACCCATATTCGTTCCACATAGAATATTTATAGAAGTTAATTCTTCAGTCACTTAGAACTTGCATTAATTCCTCAAATAAACAACAACTGAGCAGTTTCAGTAATTTCTATGGATTCATCAAGAGCCAAGGAAGAACACTTGAAATCGTCTGCCTTGTTTTTGATAGGATATTCCTCTCAGTGTCCTCAACTCTTCAAGCAGCCGTTCTTGCTGGAAATTCTAAAAGTCTTAAACAAGTTTATTTTCTCTGGGTACATTTCTTCAGCTCCTGCAATCAAACACGATTTAATTACCTCACCACTGGTAAATGAGAAACATGATTTTGTAAACTGTAGGAAAGGGGATCCTTATTGTATGGAGAGAGAAAGCATCACTGAATTCCCCTACAGTTGTGTGGAAAGCTCAATTTGTAAGCAATGAACGTGGATATTTAGCTGAGGAGATTTCTAAGCAAAGTGTTGAAGGTACAGCCTGATTTCTTCTTGCTGTTCATAGTAAAATGTGAGAGGAAAGAGATAAAGTGAGGAAAGAACTAATAAGCAAAAGGAACCAGGACTTGATGATTTTGGAATTTCTTAGCCTATCTAGATTTCAAAAGCCTGTCCAGACACTAAAACAGATTCACTGTCAGGAAAATGTGCTCTAATGAGAAAGCCAAGGCTGGACAACCTTTGGCTAGTGCTTCTGAAGGATCAAAAGATCTGAACATTCATTTACACAGAGGATTTTTATTTTTTTCCCCCAAGGAAAATTCGCCCTGAGCTAACATCTGTGCCAATCTTGCTCTATTTTGTATGTAGGTTACCACCACAGCATGGCCACTGACGAGCAGTGTAGGTCCACACGTGGGAACCAAACCCAGGCCACTGAAGTGGAGCACACTGAACTTAACCACTAAGCCACGGGGCCAGCCCCATAGAGGACTCTTTTAAGCATGTGACTCATGGATCCTCTCAGCCATCTCAGCATAAGCCAGAAATAGAGCTAGGATTATTCATGAAAGATCTGTGTAGGACCCGCTTGTCTAACGGACTGAATTCCCATAACATACATGGAAGACCCACGAGGTTTTTGAGAATGTTATATCAGTAGGAACACTGCCAGCTTGGACTGAAAGGAACAGAGAAAAGACAAAATGAAGGAAAGCCATTGGACTCCAAAAATTCTCCAGTCAGTAAACAGGCTGATGAAGTCTACTCAGTTGAAACGTGTGCTAGTCTTCAAGAAAAAGGAAGGATGACTCTGAGGGCAGAGTACTGGGCTGAAGGGCAGAGCTGACGGCACAGAGGGTGGAGCCAAGAGCCCAGAGGATTATTCTCAGGCCTTTGAAACCTAATGAAGTTTGGCTGATTAAATTTCAAAATTTCTAGGAACTGATGATTCCTTTCTCCCTTCCATTTTGGAATTAGAATGTCTGTAACTGTTATCCTAAAGCTGTCGTACAATTGTATTTGGGGAGTAAATAACTTGTATTATGGTTTCACAGGTCCACAGATAGAGAGGAATTTTTCCCCAGGATGGATCATACCCAGAGTCTCATCTATACCTTATTTAGATGCTGAGTTTTGTGACTTTTGAGCTGATGATATTTAGATGAGACTTTGGACTTTGAGTTGATGCTGTAATGGATTAAGACTTTTGGAGATGTAGAGAAGGGGTGAATATATTTTGCAGGTAGGATGAATATGAATCTTTGGGGGCCAGAGAGCAGACTGTGGTAGGCTAAATAATAGCCCACAAGTTACCCAGATCCTAATCTCTGGAACCTGTAGATGTTACCTTATAAAGCAAAAGGGCCTTTGCCAGTGTGATTAGATTAAGAATCTTAGGATGGGAGACTATCCTGGATTATCCAAGTAGGCCCTAAATCACGAGTGTCCTTATAAGAGGGAGGCCAACGGAGATTTGACTACAGAAGAGCAGAAAGTGATGTGACCTTGGAAATAGAGAAAGATTTGGAGATTCTATGCTGCTGGCTTTGAAGATGCCTGAAGGTGCCACAAGCCAAGGAATTCAAAGAATAAAGCTCTATAAGCTGAAAAAAAGAAAACAAGCAACCAGGTTCTCCCCCAGAGCCTTCCTCTGAAGGGAGCACAGCCCTGCCAACACCCTGGTTTCAGCTCAGTGAAACCATCCAAGCTTTTGGCCTCCAGAACTGTAAGAGAATAAGTTTGTATGGTTTTAAGCCATTAATGTGGTGATTTGTTACAGCAGGCACCAGAAACTAATCCATCATGATTCAATGACAAAATAATCCACACTTGACTGTGACTTAAAAGCATAACATTTGAAGTCCATTTTTCTGTTCTTATTTTTACATGATGGGTATGTACTGGTAATGAAAAAGGAAATTAAATGTTATAATAGGGTGATACGCATGGCTCTTGAAATGCTGTAACATTATAACTGCATTATTGCAACAGTGCTAAGCACTGAGATGGCCACAAATGGTCTCTGACATAACTGCTCATCTCTGCCATTACAGCACAAATCAACCATAGACAATACATAAATAAAGGAGCATGGCTGTGTCCCAATAACATTTTATTTATGGACACTAAAGTTTGTACTTCAGGGACCAGCCCAGTGGCACAGCAGTTAAGTTCACACGTTCTGCTTTGGCGGCCCAGGGTTCACCGATTTGGATCCTAGGTGTAGACCTGGCATTGTTTGGCAAGCCATGCTGTGGCAGGCGTCCCACTTATAAAGTAGAGGAAGATGGGCACGGATGTTAGCTCAGGGCTAATCTTCCTCAAAAAAAAAAAAATTGAAATATGAAGTACAAACCTTATTATTATTATTTTTGTTTTTGAGGAAGATTAGCCCTGAGCTAACATCTGCCGCCAATCCTCCTCTTTTTGCTGGGGAAGCCTGGCCCTGAGCTAACATCCGTGCCCATCTTCCTCTACTTTATATGTGGGATGCCTGCCACAGCATGGCTTGCCAAGCAGTGCCACGTCCACACCTGGGATCCAAACTGGTGAACCCCGGGCCACTGAAGAGGAACACGCGAACTTAACCGCTGCGCCACTGGACCGGCCCCCATACTTCAATTTTTATGTGTCAGGAAATATTATTCTTCTTTTGATATTTTTCTAATCATTTAAATATGTAAAAACCTTCTTAGCTCAGAGGCCATATAAAAACAAGCAGCAAGTCGAATTCAGTCCATGGCCATTGTTTGTCAATCCCTGATCAACACTTTACATAAGAGAAAAATGAAGCTTCTAGCTGCAACATTTTGGAGGGAACTTAAAATTTGACAGACCCCTACTCAACATTTTATATGAATTCATATCTATGTCCTCTAAGCAAGCTTCTGAGACAAATACCATTATTATACTTATAATACCATATTATGTTATGTTATCATTGTACCATATTATACAGACAAGGAAACTAGGGCAGAGAAATTTTCAGTATCTTGCCCAAAGATATCAAACCTCTGCAGCAGGGTCCAACCGAACTTGCTATATGATGAAAAATTCCATATCTGCTCTTCAAATATAGTAGCTGCTAGTCACACGACTATTGAACACTTGAATGTGTGACTAAGAAAATCAATTTTTAATTTTATGTAACTAATTTTATTTTACTTTTAATAGCCACATTGGACAGTACAGCTCTAGCGGGGAGAGCGAGGGTATGAATGCAGATAGAAAGCAAATTTAGGTAAATTGTCCATGGTGTCCCACAGCTAATAAATGGAGAAGCAGGAATTTGAACCAGGAATTTCAAATCCCAAAGTCAACTTCTTGGCACCAAAACTATCAACCGAAAGCCAGCAGCGGCCCGGAGTCTCTGGCAGGCATTTGTGGAAGTCAGTCTGCATAACCGTTCTTTGGTATTCAAAGAAAATCAAAATTACTGTTGTGAACTGTCCAGGAGCCTGTCTCAGACGATCCAATCTCCTTGAATTATAATCCGAAGATTAATTGTAGTTATTTTTGAGAGGCACCATGGGAGGTGCATCACATCTGCCTCTGGAGAACCATTTCTGTGCCAGGGGGCCCAGAAGAAGCTCCTTGCTGGTCTTATAGCTACATCGCAGGCAATTCTTCCCAGTGAGAGTATAGGAGAAACCCATTTCCATCTTACTGAGGAAGATATCAGACATAGGAGACCCATGTAGTTTGAGAGGCTGTGGTGCTGACCCAGCTACAAGCTCCAGCCAAAATGGCAGCCCCTCGTGGGGCATTTTTACTCACAGTCCATTTTGGAGCAGAGCTCTGGTTCTTCCAGGAAAGCAGTAGTGAGTGGCAGCTTTGGACCATGGGGGCAATGGCACAGTTGCGTGTGCCACATGAGCTCGGCAGCACGATCTAAGCCAAGGTGTCCTCTCCTCTTTCCAGTGGGAAAAACAGAATGTATGACGTCATCCAAGAGACAATTGAAAACGACTTCCCAACCTTCCTGGGCAAGATCTTCGCTTTCCTCGCCAATCCAGGCCTGATCATTCCAGCCATCCTCCTGATGTTGTAAGTTAGCCAGGCCCCACGGCTCCGCCTCAGTGAAGCCTCGCCTTGCAGTGTAGACTCCTTGGCAGTTCCTTCTTTCCTGGCCCTTAGTCTGGATTTCCCAGAGGCAGATCCTGAGACGAAAATTCAAATGCAAATAGTTTACTGGGGAGGGGAGTAAGGAAGCGAGACAGAGAAGGGACAGGAAGGTGCATATTACCACTGGGATGACTTTAATCCTGCTGGGGAATTCTGGGAAACAGTGTGCCTCTGAGTTATCCCGCGCAAGGGTGAGGGGTCCAGGGCATTCATACACCAGCTCCCAGCAGTCACACGACGTAGCTTTCCTCACTCAACATTACGTTTGGGAGATTTACCCATGTGGGTACACGAGCACACATTTTAATGGATCTACTGTGTCACACTGTATGACTAAACGACAGTTTATCCATTCCTCTGCATAGAGGTGTTTATGTTGTTTCCATTTTTTTGCCATTGCAAGTGTGCTCCTTGTTTGCGTCTCCTGGCACAAATGTGAGCATTTCTCTAAGATGGACCTCTAGAAGTGGAGCTCTGGGTCATGGATATGGGTTTCTTCAATCTTCTTTAGATAGTTCTGAATTGCTCTCCAAAATAGATGTATTTCCTTACATCCTCGATTTCAAACATCCTCTGCTTCTGGTCCCGGCATGAGAGAGGGCTGACGTGATAGAACCACCTGACTGTCCTGTTACCTCCTGAGGAAATTGTGGAACCCAGACAGCAAACCTGACCCTTGAAGGCAGCAAAGGAAAACACTAAATTCAGAAACAGCCTCCGGAGGAACATAGCCACTCATGAGCATTTTATCCTCCCTACCTCCAGTTCCTCCGTCATAAACGGGTTGTTAATTAGGAGAAAGGGCAAGATCTGGCACCGAGTAGGGGTCTTACAAAACACCTACTGGTCCCTTCACCTGTCCTCCCTTCTTTCCACCCACAGTCCTCTGAGTCTTTTCTTCAGGAGGCTCATATGACAGCCTCTGACCCACACTCTGCCCCAAAGACAATGTGGTTCCTGCTTTCAGGTTGGAGAGAGCTCACAGACTCTACTGAAGTGGCTATGGGCGGCCCTGCCCTGAGGGGAAGACTTAGAATACCCAAGCTGGAGCAGCTGAGGCTTGAAATTCACGGAGAAAAGTGACAATTAGGATGAACCTAAAAAGCTCCCAGGCCACGAGCTGGCAGAGCACCCAATCCAGGTGGCACCCTGGCTTTTGTGGCCTCCCTCTTCTCAGATGGTGCAGTCCAGGTCAAAGCCCTGGCTCTTGGGTCCTGAGAAAGGGAAGCCCAGGCTACAGCCTCAAAGGACACCCAGTCATCCAGGACTCTGAAAACCAGCAGCCCAGCACAGACAGTCCCGTCAGTGCTCCCTGGGCAGGGGAGCTTCAGAGCATCCAGAGCTGTGTTTCCAGGCAAACTGGGAGCAGGCACCGAGCACCTGTCGCTCCTCTCTCAGCACTTCAAGACTGTGGAGAGAGCTTTGGCTCCAAATGTGGGTTCCAATGAGTCTAACGGATGGGGTGACCTTGGGCAAATTACTTAACCTCTCTGAATTCCAGGATACTGATCTGTGAAGATGGGAGTCATCCTTTCTACTTCATGGGGTTTTGTCAAAACCAGTGAGATGTGGGGTGGGATGCACATGGCAGGTGCCTGGGAACCACAAGCAGCTTCTTCTGCAAACAAGAAAGGCTGCTGCTTCGCCAGCTCTTCTGATTTCCCAGAAGAGAGATTCCTTTAGCCAACCTTTCCTGAGCACCTTGAGAGCTAGAAATTTGTGTAGGTCATTTCCATGTTCAACAAAATAGAGAGAGAGCGGGGATGTCCAGGACCTTCTCCACGTTGAGTGGAGAATATAGGATGGTAGGACTTCCCTCCACCCCGCCCAGAGGCAAAAAGCCCTGACACCTATTCCAGGAAGCCTGCCTTGATTCCTTGGGTGGCCAGCTCTTGTCATTTTCCAAGATCGCAGAACCACAGGAGACACGCTTTTCTCTTGCAGCCTGGCCATATACTACCTGAACTCAGTTTCCAAAAGCCTTTCCCGAGCTAACGCCCAGCTGAGGAAGAAAATCCAAGCGGTGAGTCTGTCGAGAGTTTTCATTCAAAAAGATGTCATGTTTCTGTTTGTTGCTAATTTGCTCTGTAAGCCCACTTGTATCTTTAAATGGCCTTCTTCTAAACCAAATCCAAAAATATCTGTATTATAGGAAGCAGCCTTGTGAGATTCAACATGTGTTTAATCGTTTGGGAGTACATAACAATAATGACTTAAATTTTAAGAGGTTGCTAAAGGACAGGAGAAATTCAGTGGATTCAACCAATGTTCATACATAATAAAATCAGTACCCACAATAATTTCTACAGATTAAAACTGATACTAAAAAAAAGAATACTGCTGTCAAAACAGCATATTGCTTGTTCCCCATGGCCTAAGAGGTCTCTTAAGTCCCCTCCACACGGGGCAGCCTCTCTCCACATCATCTGACACCCTGACTTCTGACTGCTCTCTTCAGCAATCCCAGCCCCCACCCACACCTCCTACACACACACGGTAAAGGGCGGACCCCAACTCTCTCTAAGCCCCGTCCTCCTGCTTCCTCACTCCCTCTTCTGGAACGAACCTCATCTGTCTCACAGCCTCATCTGCTCTTCCTTCTCTTAATCTCACTGTCCTCCTACCCAGATAGAAAACCACTGAGACACGGGACTGGAGGGCTTCTGTCACCCCCGGCCAGTGTGCCTTCAAATGCTGGGCAACCCTGAGTCTGGGGCTGCCCTCTGAGTCATGAGGACCAATACTAGGCGATTGAAGGTAGTTACCGAGAACCGGAGACAGAGTCCTTGCCCTCTAGATCTCCCCATCCTGGGCTCTGAGCCTCAAAGACCCATTTCCCTGGCCAGGACCGACTGTTCCTTTTTTCCTGCAGCTGCGAGAACTTGAGAAGAACCATAAATCTGTCAAAGGCAGAGCCACAGCGAGAGGTTCAGAGGACACGGCTAAAGACAGCCCCCAAAATGCCACCCAGCTCCAGCTCACCAAAGAAGGTAAATTCTGTTTCCTGATGATTGCTTTTCACCAGGCCACATGGGAAGGTGGGAAGAGCGTATGTGGTGAAATCACCCAATCTGGGATTGAAATCAGAATTCGGACAATCATTAGCTGTATGAAGTTGGGCAAGTTACAATAAAGATCAATGGTAGCACCTGCTTTACTGGGTGGTGAAAACAAGATGGGATCATGCGTGTAAAGTGCTTCCCAGCATTCCTGGCACAGAGAAAGACTCAAGGAATCTGAGCTGGTAGGAGTACCTGCAAAATGGGGAAATGCCACCACTTCCCTTGCAGTGTCATTTCACTCATTTCTACCCCCTGAGTCTCTCACCACATTTCCTATGGTGACTGTTCTTCTTATATTCCTTGCAATTTAGTCTTCATTTCTGAAATGACTTTTTTCTTCTTCTTCTTCACTTTTTCTCCTGAGTCTGTCAGATCCCATGTCATATCCTCATGATCTGCTACTTAACCCATCATAGGAGCACAACTGGTGTCCCACTGGATCCCTAGGTGTGGGCCGACATGGATCACAGCCACCCCAGATGGAGGACGTATTGATTTTCTATGTTGTTCCGAGCGTTTTCTTTAGGAGGAGAAATAGGGAGATTTGCATTTTGCAGCTTCTGCTCCTATCAGAACCAGTTTGTATTCTCAAAAAAGAGCAGCGCTGGAATTTCTAGAATAAAGGGTGAGAAAAGGCCACATGAGGAGTCCAGAGAAAGTATCACAGGGCCTCCTAGGGGAGTGAGCAGAGACCATCTACCCCCTGGGACTGGAATACTAACATATTGAAATAAACCATAAACAAGCGGATGTTGCAAAAAGGGGACAAGAAGTCTGTGTCAAAATAGAACCCGTCCTGGTGAGTCTCCCCAATTTACGGAAGACATTTTGAAGCTGCAGACGTTCTTGTTAGTAAGATCAGCCAGCAGTCCATAGATGCCCGCAGACTGGTTCAGAGATGAAATGCAGAAGAGCGACGGGCTGGCAGCTTGTGGTGAAGCTGAAGAAAATATTTGAAATGACCTAATTTTTCCACATGGGGCAAGAAATGGAGTAAATGTGACATTATGTTGTAATATCACCAACAAAAACAAGACATATTTGGATATCAATGGACTTAAGTATGAAAGGAAAAACATTGGTGTATAAAATGTCTTTCATGAGAAACCAAGAAACTTACACTGAATGACAGTGGTTGACTCATGTCCCCACAGTTCCAATGTGCCTGTCCACTTTACCCACCCCTTTACCCTCCTTTCTCAACAGGCTGCTGTTTGGAAGTTTGCCCTTGGCAAAATTTGAATTTTTATTACAGATATAAAGCTTTTTCAATTTTACGCTGATTAAATCAGTAGTGTGGTATTTGATTTTTAAAAAATAAAAGTGTTATCTGAACACATCAGTGGGTCTAGGGTGTTGGAGAGAGCTTAGGAAGATGGTCAACCTTTCATCTGGAACTCTCCAATAGCCTCTATTGCTGCCCTCACTTAGCTTCTCTTCTTAAAGTATTTGCTAGAATGATGCTAGCTGCTCTAATAAACAGGCCCAAAACAGCTAATGGCTCAAACACAATAAAAGTTTACTTCTCACTCAACATAAAGTCCAAATTGGGCGTTTTCACTTGATGGCCACTTTCTTCCCAAGTGATGATGTGGGGGCCTTGGCTCCTTCCATCCTGTGACTCCACCTGTATCAAGCTAGTGCAAGGGGAAGAGCCTAGAGGACACACCTGGAAGGGGAGCACACCAAAGCCTGGACTGGGGTCGCAGCCCACACCCATCCACAATGGAAACTTAGTGCATTTCTGTGTCCCAGGAACTGGGTTTGGTGAAGAACAAGCCAGTAATTGCCCCTAACTTGGAGTAAGGGGAAGGGAAGGAAAAGAGTAAGTGAAAGAGCTGGAAACTGGATCTGATTTCCAGAAGCACCATCCTGGGGCTGATCCAGTTTACACCGTCCCTTCCATCATCATGTTTCACTGTGGCCACCAACTGTGAGGCTGTCGCTTTATTGTCCCAATGCTACACTCAAGAAAACCCAGGCTCAGAGTCTAGCACTCCAACTCTACTTCTCCAGCCACCAGACAATACTCCTCCAACACATCTGTTTATGCAAAGGCTAGACCAAGGTGCCTCCAGACCCTGAGGGGGATCTGACCATCCTCACACCACCAAATAGGAATGAAATCTATGTACAGTGCAGGGCAGCTCCAGGGAGCTGCCATTCATACCAGGAAACTGGAGGAAAACCTCCCACATCCTCATTCTTGTCTTGGTTCATTTTTCAGGGGCCACACCTCACTCTGCCAGCCAAAGCCAGACCCTGGACAAGAAGACACAGAGCGCTGGGACCTCCAGTTCTGCTAGTGAGACCATGCTGCCTGCCTCCCAGCATCTCCCTGTATCTCGGCTCCCTAACGTCAGACCAGATTCTGGCCGTGGCCGGCCTCATACTCATCCTTGGAAGTCAGCCTCTGGAAAGAGTGCTGGGAGACCTCCCCACTGACAGCTGGGACTCGCAGGAGCACCATTCTGGGGCTGATCCTCAGGCCCCACTGGCTCACACCCCCCTAAATGAGTGTCTCTCTTCCTCTCTCCTCTCACACACTTGCACATTCTCTCTCCTCTCATCAAATGTGGGAACTTTGATGACTTAGTCTCAGGCCCTTTTTGGCTACTAAGGGGGGAGGGCAATAGCTTCATCTGCCCTTTCGGGGAGCTGAGCCGCCGCACCCACTAACTGCCCTTCCCAGTACCCTGGTTCAGGCAGCTCTGGACCTTGCACTCACGGTGGTCTCCCTTGGCGTCAGACTTCAGGAGGAAGGGACAAGGTTGTCACGACCATCACAGGCTTTTTTCATGGTGCCCATGTTGGGACACAGGTTTCTGCCAGCTCCACCAACTGAGAGGAGGGTGCAGAGGGACCCACCTTCCTGACCATCACCTCTGTCCAAAGGAGGCAAGGTGGCTTAAGCACAAGGTACAAGAAGCCAATGAAAACAAACGGAGCCAAAGTCCAGCCATGATGAGTGCAAAGATAGGGACACCCCAAAACCCAGGCTGAGGGGAGCTGATGCCTTTAAGCACCAAAAATGCATTGGGACCCCCCAGCTAGCAACATTGACTGTTATTTATTGAGCAGTTGGCTTGTTCTGAGTACTGAGGATTTCTATTAAAGACAGCTGTCTGCAGGATTGTGCCAGATAATTTATTCTTCAATGCAGTATTAGTCTGGAAAATGGCTCAAGATCATGCTTGGGGTGGATGAGGTACATAGAGCGTACAGGTATCTATATCACCCAACCGTGTCTGGAAAATGGACTGTATAAACCCAACCGCTCAATAAATAACAGGTTATCAGGGGCGTGGATAAGATCAAACAGCCTCAGGCTCAGGTTATGAACGTATGCTCTTCTGTGTCTATGGAGAGAAATGTGGCACATGTGTGTAACTCATTACCAACGCGTCTTGTTTGAGAAAGGAGCCAAGGAATTGGAGAAGCCTTTCAAATTTGACAGGAGGGTTTTCTCATTCACGAAATGAGTGTAAAGTGCCACCATCTTGTGGTTATTTCATGCAATTTCCTTTCCCGAAGCTCTTCCTAGTCACTGGATTTTAAACGGCACATTCCATTTCCATTGGTCCCCATTAGCGTTGCCCAGAGTAAAAACTCTGGGTTAATTTACACCAAAATGACACAGGAGCCATAGGCTAGGCTAAATAAAAGGGGAATAGATGCTATAGAGTATGATCCTTCTCAATGAGTGAGAAAAGCAAGGAGAAAGCAAGAACGGAGGGAGGAAAGGCCTACACATGGAAAGGAAAGGCCCCATGTGCCACTTGGCTTTAAAGCTTGAGCCCGGAGCCGGCCTGGGAAACCCGCAGCTCCCCTTCAGTCCTGCTGCCCATACAGGACATTTTCTCAGCTGGAACTTTTTGAGAAATCAGTCCTGCACGTCACCTCCAAATTAATCTCCAAACAAACACTGCTTGATGGAGAATGAGGGTCTCATCAGACCCAAGCCACTCAGCCTGGCCTTCATTCAAGGGTCCTTATGTTCCAGGTCTTACATGCTAGATCCTTCAGTCTTTTGTCCAACTACTAACCAGGATGACTCTTACACTTCTAGCAGATTCTTTCCTTGTTTCCGGCTTTTGCTTCCACTCTTTCCATCCTCCTTCTCTAAACGACCTACACATTCTTCTATGAATATACAAAATCCCTCCTGGCCATGAAGTCTTCCTCAGGAACACTAGCCCAAACAGTCTTCCGGTCAGCCTCCCATACTACTGCATTTCAGCACTTGATTATGTCCAGTCTCCCAGGATTATGAAGTCTCTGAAGTAGGAGGTCATGGGTTAGCATTATCATTGTTTTTATTATTCTCCCAGATGTCTGCATTGTTTACTCCCTTGCTTAAGATCTCTGCTCAAATGTCACCTCTTCGCTGAGAGCCTCTATGAAACAGGCAACATTCCTTCACGCTTATCAACACCTGATGCGCTACATATCTGCTTGATTTTCCGTCTCTCCCTAGAATGTAAACTCCATCACAGCAGTGACTTGGTTTGTTTCCTACCGTATCCCCAGCACCTAGAAAGAAACCCGGCATGCGTTAGGCACACAAAACATTTTTTTTTAACAAATGGAAGAATTGATTCTGTAGCTTCTTGAACACCAAGAGTTAATAGCTGATTCCTTATCTGCAAAAGAAGAAAGGCATTGGATCATACAGTCTACTAGGTGCCTGCTAGCTCAAAATTTACCTGTGTCCTCAGGGGCCCAGAAGAGACCAGCTGAATGGAATTGCTTCTTTGGGTTCTGAGAAGATGAATAGATGTAGCTTTGGGCTCATTTCTCTGCTCACTCCTCCCACCACTCCAGTCTTCATGTCTGTGAGGTGTGTGCACACTAAAAAGTCTCCTAGGTCTAATGCATATATAAAGATGCCAGCTATCAGGGCCACACGAGCACTTGAAGAACTGAGCTGAGGTTGACAGAAGCTGCAATCAAAGGTTAGGAAGCTCGCTCGCTTGCGGCACCCCAAAATTGTTTTGATCAATAACACCTTGCCTCCTCATCCAAAACGTAAGTAATGTCCTTCCCAGTGCAAAATCAGATGCTACCCAGTGCAAATTCATTAGGCAGTGATGGGTGGCCGGAGTTTTTCAAAGAGAAAGAGGAAGAAACAATGCTTAGAAAGTAGCCATGGGAAGCAAGGAAGACATGAACCTTTAACATCCATCTAAATGATGTGTGTTTAGGTCATAGAAGGAATTACAACAGAAGCTAGAATAAATTTGGAATTGAATTATAATGAAAATATTGCACACCAAAATTTGTAGACTACAACTAAAGCAGGACTTAGAGGAAAATGCATATTGAAGAAGAAAAGCTTAAACGAATGGCCAAACATCCATATTAAGAAATGAAGCAGAGAACAGCAAAATAAAGCCGAACAAGTAGAAGAAAGGAAACAATAAAGAGCAAAAATTAATTCAAAAGGAGATAAACACAACAGAGAGAGTCAACAAAATCAAAAGCTTATTGTTTGAAAAGTGAGTAAGAATGAAAATTTTCTGACTGATGAACTAAAAAAAGAAAGAAGGTAAAAATAAATATTAAGGATAAAAAGGAGATCACTAGTACAGATGCTGCAGAAAAGATTAAAAATTTTCCAATTCAAACCTAAAAAATGTGAAAGCATAGATGAACAAATTCCCAGAAAACTATAACAAAATTGGTCCAAGAAAGTAGAAAACCTGAATAATTCTGTGACCGTTATAAATTTGAATCCATAATTTAAAATATGCTTTCAAGATCTTCTCTTTGTTTTGGGGGTTTTGCTGTTTTATTATAATCAGAGCAAGCGTGGATTCCTTTTTGTTTATCCTGCTTGAGGTGCATTCCTGTATCTTTGCATCCATGCTTTTCATCAGTTCTGGGGAAACTTCATCCACCATCTCTCAAATATTGTTCTTCCTAGTGATGGTTAATTTTATGTGTCAGCTTGACAGGGCTAGGGGATGCCCAGATAGCTGATAAAACATTATATCTGGTGCGTCGGTGAGGATGTTTCCGGAAGAGATGAGCATTCGAATTGGTGAACTAAGTAAAGCAGACAGCCCTCCCAAACGTGGGTGGGCGTCATCCAGTCTTTTGAGTGCCAGAATAGAACAAAAAGGTGAAGGAAGGGCAAATTAGTTCTATCTCTGCTTGGGCTGAGACATCCATCTTCTCCTCCCCTTGGACATTGGCGCTCCTGGTTCTCAGCCTTTCAGACTCAGATCCAGACTTACAACATCAGCAGCCTCCTACCACCATTCTCAAGCCTTTGGGCTTGGACTGAACTACACCACAGCTTTCTTGGTTCTCCAGCTGGCAGACAACAGATCGTGGGACTTCTTGGCCTCCATAACCATGTGAGCCAATTCCTACAATAAATCTCCTCATATATATCTATGTACATCCGATTGCTTCTGTTTCTCTGAAGAACCTTGACTAACACACTCTATTTTTCCTTCCTACCTTCTGGCAGAACAGAAGCTAAACCCTCTCATTCCACATCCTGTCTCCTCATTGCTCTCTCACCTATCTAATCTCTCTTTGTTGCATGATGGATAAGTTATTTCATTAGATCTTCCAATTCACTAATGCTCTCTTCAGCCATGCCTAATTTGCTAATGAGTCATTGCGTTTCTTTTAAATTTCAACAAGTTTCTTATTTCTACAAGTTTCATATCTGTTCATTTCTGCCCTGCTGCCCTGACCATGGCACAGATGAAGCTGCATGCCTCCAAAAAAAACGATTTACAGAACCTTTCCTGTAAAAGGTCAGATAGTATTGTGGACTTTGTGCACCACATATACTCTCTGTTGCATATATATTTTTTCCAACCCTTTAAAAATGTAAAAATCATTCTTAGCTCTTGGGCCCTACAAAAGCAAGGTACAGGCCATATTTGGCCCATGGGTCACAGCTTGCTGACTCCTGCTCTAGAGATCCCACACTCCACCCAGCAGAATGGTCACCACAGCACAGGAAAGCTAATACAGCATTCGTGAGGATAAAAGCCCCTCTGGTAATGAGCCTGGTCCTCCCAGCTCATATAAGGCAGGCAAGTGATCCCCAAGACCATGTATACCTCAATGAGGAAATGCATGGGTGCCACACAGCATGGAACCAGTAGAGGCCTGAAATAAGGAGACCAGGAGCTCAGAGTTTCAAGCATCTGGCTGAGATCAGCATGTCTCAGAGGACAGAGGGCACAGGCTAGGGACCAGTCCAAAGCAGCCATGTTACAGCAGGGATTAATGGGGTCCCAAGACACAGTACTAGAACCTGAACACAAAGACCTGAGACATCCCCCCACCCCTTCTCCCTACAACTAGGCTCTGAGAGCACTCTCATAAACCCTGGTGCCATTCTGAAAAGAGCTGAAGAAGAGAGAGGAAATCTAAAAGACTCTTAGCAACACTGTTTAAACCAGAAATGATTGAGATACCAATAATTGTCAAGTTTACACACTGAACATATTTTCCAGGTTCCAACAATATTTAATCAGAGTGACAGTAAACTGTCCATCTACTGCCACTGGAAATTGAAAAATGGAATGCATAACTGTTTTACCGTGTGAAACTAAACTGTGTTTAAAGATGATCTGTCTACATGTGTAAGTTAATGGCTAAAGTGAATGAAATGAGTCAAGGTACCTGGATGTATAAAAAAATGGGGTTTTAGTAGAGTCTTTTGGGAAGTGATGGGAGAATTGGGACTAAACTGAGAACAGGTCAAATGAAATGTTGTAATATTATTGACAAAAAAGAACAAGATGAGGGGCCAGCCTGGTGGCGTAGTGGTTAAATAAGCATGGTGGCCCAGAGTTCACAGGTTCAGATCTCAAGTGTGCAGAGCTACACACCACTCATCAAGCCACGCTGTGGCAGCATCCCACATACAAAAAGAGAGGAAGATTGGCACAGATGTTAGCTTAGCAACAATCTTCCTCAAGCAAAAAGTGGAAGATTGGCGACAGATGTTAGCTCAGGGCCAATCTTCCTCACACACACAAAAAAACCAGAACAAGATGAAAGACCACTAACACTTGCTGAGTTCCTACTACATGCCAGGTACCACACCTCTGTCATGTCTGGCCTATAGTAGATGTTTGATAAAATCTTTGTTGAAGAGACAAATGAATCCTCAGTCTTCATCCTGCAGAAGAAATGAAAGCTCAGGAAGATTAGGTGATTAACTTAAGGTCACCTGAACCCCGGTTTGCTGATTCTGATACGTATTTACTGCTGCTTAATATATCATCTCGAAATTTAGTGACTTAAAAACCACAATATATTATTTCTCACAGTTCTGTGGGTAGTTGGGGCCCAACTAGGTGGTTCTTCTGCTGGTCTTGTTTGGGGTCACTCATGTGGCTGCAGTCAGATGGCAGCAAGGGCTGGAACACATGACATGGCTTTACCCGTGGGTCTTCTCTCTTGACAGGGACAGCTGGAAAGCTGGACCTCTCCCGGAAGTCTCGGGGCCTTTCCTTCTCCATGTGGCTCTCCAGCACGTAGCTGAACTTCTTATGAGGCAACTCAAGGCTCCCAAGAATGCAAAACGCTGAGTAGTGGAACTGGCACAGAATCACTTCTGCCGCATTCTACTGGCAAAAAAGTCACAGACCCAGCCCTGTTCACTGTGGGAGGGGACTATACAAGGACCAAATGCCAGGAGGCACGGATCACGGGTGGTCATCTTTGGAGACTAGCTACCGCAGGCGATCCTGGGACACCACGCCCTTGACCTTCCCGTTACTTCATGCCACGATGAACACCCGCAATAGAACACGATTGGCTACTCTGCCTCAGAGAGATCATTCTGGCAGTGGAGAGACAGGTGGTTTAGAGAAGGGGAAACCAAAGGTTTTGCAAAAGTCCTGAATTAGGCAGGACTGGTGGTGGTGGTGGTGAAGACCTGAACACAGACAGGAAAAGTGAACCCAGCAAACAGGCCAAAAGGAAGGAAGATACGGTCTCTAACATCACACGCTGCAGAGGTCCCGCTGGGGTCAGGACTATGAAATATCCGGGAGCTAGTTTAGTTAAGAGATGGAGGTGAGGAAGCCAAAGGAATATTTTTAGTGTTTGCACCATGTCCCCGTCTAATCATAAGCATTTGTTTTAGGTTTTTTTTTAAAGATTGGCACCTAACAACTGTTGCGAATCTTTTTCTTTTTTCCTGCTTTTTCTCCCCAAAACCCCCCAGCACATAGTTGCATGTTTTAGTTATGGGTCCTTCTAGTTGTGGCATGTGGGACGCTGCCTCAGCGTGGCCTGACAAGCGGTGCCATGTCCACGCCCAGGATCCGAACCTGTGAAACCCAGGGCCACCGAAGCGGAGCGCGTGAACTTAACCACTCGGCTACGGGGCGGCTAGTATTTGCATCTCACTAGTTGAAGTGCACTTTTCTTCAGCCGTCTCGTCTCTGAGTTAGCAAACCTCTTCAGCACAGCTCCGTTATAACCAGAGGACTCAAACCTATTCAAAGTACCACTGTGGTTAACTTTCAGCTCAGTGACTCTCAAGCTTTTTGCATTTAATCCACAAAAGTGTGTTTACATAACTAACATATATAGTATATATACATATTTCCCCACGTATATATATGTATGTTTATACATACATGTATACATATGCATGTTTACCTGAGACAAAAGTTTCACAAATCAATACCCCTCCTCACTCTATGTGACATATTATTCCCTATTCTCTTTCTTCCTATGTTTTTAATGCTGGCTAAGAATGTCTAAATAAATTCTACATTCCACTAATAGATTCTGACTTCTCCTTTGAAAACCCCTATCTAAGCGGATAAGCACCTGTAACCCCAGGAATATTTAAGATTAAGTATAGAAATAATGAAGCAATCAAAGTCATAGCATTAATATTTTCCATTACATTTTGGAACCCTTTATTTAACCTGGTATCTATAAAACAGAATTTAACATACTAATGTATGTAATAGATTAGTTTTGCAATTCAATTTTTTTTTCTTTAAAGATTTTATTTTTCCTTTTTCTCCCCAAAGCCCCCTGGTACATACTTGCGTATTTTGGGTTGTGGTTCCTTCCAGTTGTGGCAGGTGGGACACCGCCTCAGCATGGCTTGATGAGCGGTGCCATGTCCACGCCCAGGATCTGAATCGGTGAAACCCTGGGCCGCCCAAGCAGAGCACCAACTTAGCCATTCAGCCACGGGCTGGCCCCTTGCAATTCAATTTTTAAACGTGGAGTAACTGATTCAGACTCAGGTTGCAAGTGGATATATGTAACAGAACGTAACCATATTTGTAAGCAATACTGAGACTGAGAGTTTAAGATTTACCAGCCATATTTTTAAGTTAATATATTAAGACTGAGCTCAGTACTTGGATTTTGTTTGTCAAGTGACCGAATTGCTTAAGAAGAAATAAAATAAATTGAATTTATAAATGCACTTCAGTTATGGGAATTTAAGTTATAAAAATCCCCTTAAAATGATGCTAATCTACCAGCATGTATACTACCCTAGGAGAACTAGGTTTTGGATTTGCAACTCTAACATTAACTATTAAAGCAAAAGTAATTTCAAAATAGTCGACTGAATGCCCAAAAGCCACCCTCGAGGACATGGAAGTGGCTCCAATCCACCGCTGGCTAACTGGGCGCTAACATCTAGGGCCATTCAACAGGGCGAGCAACACGTGGCCCAGCAAAAGGAGCCCCGTTCTGCTGAAGCAGGGGAACGAGAAACCGACCTGGGAGGAGGTGGGATCGTCTTCCTTTTCGACTTTATCTCCGGCCACCCTCATTTTTGGAAATAATAAATAAAATACAATTTAAAATTGTATTTTAAGGCCAGCTACGAGGAGTCACGATTCCTCAGGGTCTACGCCAGTTTGCCCCAGGCTCCCTTCCGTTCTAGAGAGGAGGAAAGGGCGCGCGGCCCCGAGGCTCCTGGGAAGGTCTTCCCCGAGTGGGAAGCCGGGACGAAGGGGTCCTGGGGACCTGAGGCGCAGGGAGAGGTCTGGGGCCCCAGGTACGGTGCCACGGAAAGCCGAGGGGGCAAGTTTCTGCCCGGGGAGGGTCGCCGCGGCCCGAGCTCTGCCTCCCGTAATTATCTGATGAAAACAGAGGGAATGGACCATTATCCAAAAAGCGCCTTTCCCGACCGTCCTGCGGCCCGCATGCCGCCCAGATACGGCGCGTCCCCAGCAACAGCGCACGCGCCCGCCGCAGCGGCAGCCGGAAAAGGCCAGCCAGCCCGCGCTCGCCCCCCGCCCCCTCCCCCGGGCCGTACCACCCGGGCGGGCCCCCAGCCCAAAGGCCCCGAAAGGTATCGTCCTCGGCCTCTGATTGGCCGACGGTGCGGGGGCGTGGCCTCTGGAGCCGGGTTCCGCGCGCCAGAGCCCGCTCGTCGCATTGCGAGCCGGGCCGGGAGCGGGCGCCATGGTGAGGAGTGGTTCGGCGGTGTGGGCGAGGAGAAGGCCGCGCTGCGGGCCCGGGTGCAGGCCGGAGCCCGCGCCGGGGCCGGGGCCTACGCTGGGAGCGGGGCTGGGTGAACGCGGGGGCCGCGCTGACGCTCGCGCCCCGGCTCCCGTTCCAGGTGCTGCTGCACGTGCTGTTCGAGCATGCGGTCGGCTACGCGCTGCTGGCGCTGAAGGAGGTGGAGGAGATCAGCCTGCTGCTGCCGCAGGTGGGTGCCGCGGGGGGCTCGCCTTCCGCGCCGTGGCCCAGCCGGCGCGCGGCCCCCAGCATGCACCGCGCGCTCCCACGTGGCCGGCCGCGCCGTGGGGGGGGCCCCAGAGCCAGGGCGTCCTTAGTGCGTTCGGACTTAGAGACTCGTTAGGACCACTCAGAAGTAAGCCTCCCTGACTCCGCCCCGTACCGACGAAGCAGATCTGGGATTTAGGGCCCATGATCGGTTCCTTTTTTAAAGCGTCCGGTTGGTTCTTAGGTGCGTGCAAGGCCGAGAACCGCTGCTTTACTGCGCCCTAGAGGCAAGAGCGAGGGAAAGAAACCATTCATCCTTTCTCCCTCAGGTGGAGGAGTGCGTGCTCAACCTGGGCAAGTTCCACAATATCGTTCGTCTCGTGGCCTTTTGTCCCTTTGCCTCGTCCCAGGTTGCCTTGGAAAATGCCAACGCTGTGTCTGAAGGTGAGTCGGCCACCACCATGTATCTTACGGAGGTAAGGCAGACAGAGTTCTGCTGCTGTTCTCCTAGGGGAGCTTGTGATAATTTGCTTTCCTCAGCTAAATTGTTCTCTCTGGTATGGGCTAAGCTGTATTTAATGTGTAGAGGATGTAGTTTTAAAATCTTCATAGAGTTCAAGATCTGGAATATATGGTAGGTTAAATGTAATACCTTAAGTGCACAATCCAGGATGTAGGCTTTATTTTCTTGTGGGCATTGGAATGATAAATGATACTTAAATCTGGTAGGGCAGGCGAGTTTAATGCTAAACCCAATCAAATGTCATTCTCTGCTACTTTGTTCACTTGATTGAAAAGGGCAATTCCGATACTTAAAAGCCAAGAAAAAGAGGTTGGTCCCAGAAGGCAAATCAAGTATTTCATCATGCTCCGGGGTGTTTTAAGCTTTCGGTTATGTATTTCACTGTTTTCTTGGACCTCCCATGGTTGATGCAGGCTTTGCAGTGATGACTTGAGTCTGTCAATCCCCTGAGTGCAGTCACTGATGTCTCCATGTCTCTGAGCAAAGCCTGAAGGGGAGGGGTCTAGGCATGCCATCCCAGCATGTTCTGCTGGACCATCGGAAGATAGATCTGTCACTTAAATCAGTTGAGGGCCCAGGGTCCCTTTTATGATTTTCAGCATCCTTCAGCTTGTTAGTGGGAGCTCTGTTCTTTGCTCTGAGGTGTTGTTCACGAGGACCTCCGCCTGCTCTTGGAGACTCACTTGCCGTCCAAAAAAAAGAAAGTACTCCTGGGTGTTGGGGACCCCAAGATTGGTGCTGCTATACAAGAGGAGTTAGGATACAACTGCCAGACTGGAGGCGTGATAGCTGAGATCCTGCGAGGTGAGACCATCGTCTGTTAGCATTCATGCCATTCTTCACATCTTCGAAGGAGATTCTGGAAACTTAATGGGGTGCTTAAGGTTGCTTCTGGGAAGCCTTCCTGCTTGGCTGGTGCCCATGGTGCAGGAGCCAGCTGAGAGCCCTTCCTTGCTCACAGTCTTGCCCTCCTCCAGGAGTTCGTCTGCACTTCCACAACCTGGTGAAGGGTCTGACAGATCTGTCTGCTTGTAAAGCCCAACTGGGGCTGGGACACAGCTATTCTCGTGCCAAAGTTAAGTTTAATGTGAACCGGGTGGACAATATGATTATCCAGTCCATTAGCCTTCTGGACCAGTTGGATAAGGACATCAATACCTTCTCCATGCGTGTCAGGTAAAGTGCAGGGGCAACCCCTGAGAACGGGGTCTTTGGCTCGTGGTTGAGCTAGTTTTGAATACTGAGATCAAGACTAGCTTCTGTGGGTAGAACCATGTGGGGTGGGGTGGGCTGGGCTGGGCCTCCTGGTGCTTACCACAGGCTGTGTTCTTACACTGACTGTATAGAAAGAGGAGGCAGAGCAAACCCACCCCATATACACCTCAGCCCAGGCCCTTTGCCTGGTCTGTATTGTGAATGGGGGGACAAGGAGTTGAGGAGGTTTTGAATGTGACTTCTTCCCCGGCCCTTCAGGCAGAGAGTCAGTGTGGAGAGGGCTGAGGCTGTAGCTTTATTTGAGAGGACAGCTGAGCCAGGGAGTGATTGTGGTTCTTTGCAGGGAGTGGTACGGGTATCACTTTCCTGAGCTGGTGAAGATCATCAATGACAATGCCACATACTGCCGCCTTGCTCAGTTCATTGGAAACCGAAGGGAGCTGAATGAAGAAAAGTTGGAGAAGCTGGAGGAGCTAACAATGGATGGGGCCAAAGCCAAGGCTATTCTGGATGCCTCGCGGTCCTCCATGGGTCAGTACAGAGCCTGGCAGCCAAAATAAGGTATGGGGCTCTGGAGGTCTGACTTGCACATTTACACTTGGTGTCGCTTAGGCATGGACATATCAGCCATCGATTTGATAAACATCGAGAGCTTCTCCAGCCGTGTGGTGTCTTTGTCAGAGTACCGCCAGAGCCTACACACTTACCTGCGATCCAAGATGAGCCAAGTAGCCCCCAGCCTGTCAGCCCTAATTGGGGAAGCGGTGCGTCATGGGGAGCACAGAAATGGGGATTGAGGAACATTGCCATGTATATCCACACTGCTTTATTTCCTGACCCACCATATCTTCCCTAATTGCACTTCAAGGGGAGAGGCGAAGCAGGGTTACGCAGTTGGTATGTTGGCAATTGTAGCTTCCCTAATTCTTTGAATCCTTCTCCAGGTAGGTGCACGTCTCATTGCTCATGCTGGCAGCCTCACCAACCTGGCCAAGTATCCAGCGTCCACAGTGCAGATCCTTGGGGCTGAAAAGGCCCTGTTCAGGTACCAGTGAGGGCACCTGCCCACACTCAGGTACCACTTCTGGTGCCCACTGCTTGTTTGGGGATCACAGTGATGGCTAACCAGGGCTCCCTGACCTATACAGGCCTCTGCTATGGGGGTGATGGCCAGTCCTGGTGTCTGAGTGATTCCCAGGGCCCAGCAAAGGGACCAAGTTTCCAGGTCAGCGACATTGGATGCCTTCCCTCTGTCTCTGGGAGCTGTGGGTTGGCACAAGGTGGGGTGAAGACCCAGCCCAGCCTGAGGCTCGATCTGGAAACTGGGGGAAGTAGGGAGGGGAGGAGCTGCCTTGGCTAATAGGGTTGAAATTTCTGATCTTGAAATCTCCACTGCATATTCTTCTCCCAGAGCCCTGAAGACAAGGGGTAACACCCCAAAATATGGACTCATTTTCCACTCTACCTTCATTGGCCGAGCAGCTGCCAAGAACAAAGGCCGCATCTCCCGATATCTGGCAAACAAATGCAGTATTGCCTCACGAATTGATTGCTTCTCTGGTATGGGGCGGGGTTGGCAGTTGTGAGGAAAAGGGAGGGAGGGAGGCTGACGACCTTAGCAGCTTCTACAATGATGCCAGTATTTTTCGTCAACAGCAGTTCACCTAGTGAGTGTTGATACTTTGGGTCTGAGTGGAGCTGACAGTAGAGGGAATACTGGGGTGGGGAGTAGTTTGCCCTTTAAGGGGCTGACAGGCTTTGTTTACCCACACACACACACATCCAGAGGTCCCCACAAGTGTATTTGGGGAGAAGCTTCGAGAACAAGTCGAGGAGCGGCTGTCCTTTTATGAGACTGGAGAGATTCCACGAAAGAATCTGGATGTCATGAAGGAGGCAATGGTTCAGGTCAGTTTGGGCTTCACTAGGTGGGGGAGGACCATAGCTGGCTGTTGGAGGTGATGAGCTGTCTTAGCCTGACCTGGTAGAGTGGAGGCAAAAAACTGATTTAATGAGCCTGATCCAGTAAAGCCAGAAGGGAGACCTGGAGAGCCGCAGGTCTGGAGAACTTTTTTAGCACTTTTCTTTGGCCAGGCAGAGGAAGCGGCTGCTGAGATTACCAGGAAGCTGGAGAAACAGGAGAAGAAACGCTTGAAGAAGGAAAAGAAACGCCTGGCTGCAATTGCTGCCCTTGCATCTTCAGAAAACAGCAGCAGTACCCCGGAGGAGTGTGAGGTCAGTAGGCAGGTTAGCCCTCAGGCCTAGGTGTGAAGATCTTAGGTTGTAAGATTTTCAACAGCAGGACACAGGTTGTGCTACCTTAAGCCATAGTCTTGAGTCCAGGCTTTTGGACTGAAATAAGGACCTGAAATATCTAAAACTACCTCTTGAGAGAACTTGCACAAGAGTACAGAGAGCTGGTTGCAGTACACACGCATTTCCTGGCCAAGTGTTTTCTGTCCTTGGCTGCCTCCCAGGAGTCTTCAACTGGGGGTAGTGTAAATTCCTGCTCTGCTTGTTCTCAGACGTGTGTCTGGAGGTACCATTTTCTAGCGGGGATTGGGGAAGGGAGGTTTCAAATGTGCTAGGTTAGAATCACTTCTCCTGGGATCTTCACATAGTGCCCAATTTGTCAAATAGTGTTTCAGGGTCCCTTCTGGAACTTGGCATGATGATTCTATAGTGACCAGGATGGTGAGTTTTTCTATAAATTATTTAATGGGCTTAGATAATCACATTTTCTCCCCACCTTCTAAGTGGGAGTCACCCTTGGGGTAGATATCCAGAATTATATCCATATAGTTAAAACTATCCCAGTGGGTTTTTTTTTTCAAGATTTTATTTTTTTCATTTTTCTCCCCAAAGCCCCCCAGTACATAGTTGTGTATTCTTTGTTGTGGCATGTGGGATGCTGCCTCAGCGTGGTTTGATGAGCAGTCCCTTGTCCGCGCCCAGGATTCGAACCAATGAAACACTGGGCCGCCTGCAGCGGAGCGTGCCAACTTAACCACTCGGCCACAGGGCCAGCCCCAAAACTATCCCAGTTTTAACAGCATTTCCACCAGTCTTTCTGCCCTACTACTTGCCAGAATTTTAATGGAGTGTGTTCATACAATGATGAGTGACACTGCTCCATGTCCACTTCCCTTTTTTAGGAGACAAGTGAGAGACCCAAAAAGAAGAAAAAGCAAAAGCTCCAGGAGGCTCCTCAGGAGAATGGAATGGAAGACCCATCTGTCTCTTTCTCCAAACCCAAGAAAAAGAAATCTTTTTCCAAGGAGGAGCTGGTAACTAGTGATCTTGAAGAGACAGCTGGCAGTGGGAGTCTTCCCAAGAGGAAGAAATCTTCCCCCAAAGTGGAAACAGTTACTGACCCTGAAGAGGCAGGAAACAGGAGTGTCCCCAAGAAAAAGAGGAAATTCTCTTCCAGAGAGGAGCCGCTCAGCAGTGGACCTGAAGAGGCTGCTGGCAGCAAGAGCAACAGCTCTAAAAAAAAGAAAAAGCTCCAAAAGCTATCCCAGGAAGATTAGAATGGACATTTCCTGCTGGGGCCTAACCCACAGGACATTTTCCAACAACCTAACCCATCCCTTAAACCCCAATAAAAACAAATTCATAAAGAGTCGATATACATGTTTTATTGAGGCACCTTAAACAGGTGTGGGTGGGACCTATGGGCGGGACAGGGCATCAATGACAGCCTCAGTGAAGTCTTGGCAGGTAGCATAGCCACCCATGTCAGAAGTTCGAACCTGTGGGGGAGAATTGTCATCATCCCTGTGGCCTAGGCCCCATCCCTAACCCCCCCTCCAACCACCACCTAATAGTTCCCTAAGGAAGCCAGCCCCAGGACAACCTAGGCTCTGCCCAGGTGGTGGTTATGGTCAGGTTAAGGGCTCTTCTCTGGTCCACTGTACTGAAGGGAGATGTAGGTAGTATGGTCCTTGTGAGGTTGGAGGGACTAAAGGGCTCTAGCCCCCATAAGGGTGCAGGTGGCCGATGACAGACTTGATGAAGTCGGTTGTGGTGCTGTAGCCGCCCATGTCTCGAGTCCGCACCTACAGCCACCACCGGCAACAGCCGTGGGGGAGAAGAGAAGAGAGCCCATGAAGGGGGGGTAGGGCAATGTGATGGCAATGGGATCCAAGAAGGGGTGACAAGGCTAAAAAGAAGATGCAATGCAGCAGAGATGCAAGGCCAAAAGAAGATGCGATGCGGCAGAGATGCAAGGTGGCCAGGTTTGGAAGAGCATAGGGGCCCATCCACTCCTGAGAGCCAGAGCCACTCTTAGAGCCTATGCTGCAGCCTGGGCAGGATGGAAGGCTGAGCATGAAGTGAGATGGGGAACACTGACTGGAGACAGCATGAGGATGCCTTGGAGGAAATAAGGAGAGAGACCAGGCGGAGGAAAGATGAGGGCAGGGGAATGCAGATGAGGATGGGCTTCCAGATGTGAAGGTGCCCCCAGGGCCTCATCCTGCCTGCTATCTCCCTCTGCTCCTCCATCCCCCATACTCCCCCCAGAGAGACAGCTGCAAGTTTGGCTTGAAGATGGCCCATAAAAGAGCCAAGGGATGGAGCAGGAAAGAGGGAAGAGCAGATGGGAACTAAGGCAAAGGAGATCAAGAGGATGAAACAGCCAAGAGAAGGGAGGTGAAGAACAGCCCTGAGAGGGACAGCGGAAGACCACACAGCAGATATTCTGGGGTGCTGGAGGGAAAGGCGGTCCCAATTCAGGTTCCCCAGAGAGTAGTGCCAAGGCCCTGAGCCCTGCAGCCTCTCTAAACTCACCTTGCCCACTTTGATCACCTTCTTCACGGCATCTGCAATCATGTTGGAGTGATACTCGAGACTGTCAATGTGGACAGAAGAAACTGAGATTCCTCCCACATCATCCCCGACTTCCCCACCTGTGCTCCCCCTTACAACACCGGGCCTCCTCCCCCAGCCCACCATGACCTACTTGAGATGCCGCAGCATGTTGGAAGCTGACAACAGCATAGCGGTGGGGTTGGCTATATTCCTGCCCACTGCCTGGGCAAATGGGTGCCGGGCACCCTGTGGAGAGAGGAGCAGACCAGAGTCACTGCAAGCAGATGTCATGCAGCAGCTGAGGTCAGGGAAGGGCATTAGGGCAGAGGGAGGTCAGACCAGGGACACTCAGAAAAGGCATTGGGAGGGTGGAGGGCAGGAGCAGGCCAGGGTTACTTAGGAGAGGACAGAGTGGGGGAACTATCAGGGGAAACCTGAGGTCAGAAGAAGGGCATGCAGAGAGGGCTGAGGGAGGAGGGGACCTCACTCACCGTCTCAAAGACTGCGTACTCTGCACTGTAGCTCTCACCGGGGACCACACCAGCTCCCCCAACCAAGCCAGCAGCCAGATTGTCGATAATGTTCCCATAGAGATTGGGCATCACCAGCACATCAAACTGGTAAGGATTCTGTACCAGCTAGGGGGTGAAATGTGGGCATGGAGAAGAGAAGTAAATGCCACTCCTGCCCTCCCTCAGCACTGAGAGTGTAGACACAGGGAAGGCCTTACCTGCATGCAGCAGTTGTCTATGATCATTGTCTCAAACTTGATTTTGGGGTACAGTTCAGCAACTTCCTCACAGCACTGCAGGAATAACCCATCCCCAAGTTTCCTGTCCGTGGGCCAAAGGAAACAGATTCAGCCAAGAGAGTGCAGGGGGCTACCTTCCCAGGATCCTTCCCAAGGCAAAACCATTTCCCTCACATGATGTTGGCCTTGTGGACAGCCGTGACCTTGCTCCGCCCCTTCTTAGTGGCGTAGTCGAAGGCGAACTTTGCAATCCGCTGAGATTTGGTTCGAGTGACAATCTTCAAGCACTCAATCACACCCCTTGCACTCTGCGTAAAAAGAGAGAAGCAGCTAGATGACACTGGAAAGAACGGAAGAAGGAGCTATGCCTCTCTCCCACCTTTGCCCCTGCCCTCCCCAATTTCTAGGGCCTCACCTCATGTTCCAGAGAGCTGTATTCCCCTTCTGTCTGCTCCCGAATGATCACCAGATCTAAATTGTTGTGTCGAGTCTTATACCCAGGAAGTGACTTCACATGGACTACATTGGCAAACAAGTCCAACTTACGCCTGGGGGTGGGACAAAGCCATCAGCACTGTCCCTGGTGCCCCAGTACCCCTCTAACCCATGGCCCCTTGTCACCTACCTCAGCCGCATATCGTAGGAGGCTAATTCCCCCTTATACTCCATCGGGGTGTGGATCTTTCCTGCATAAACAAAGTTGGCAGGGGAGGGTGTCAGGCACAGGCCAAGCCCAAGGGCACCCAGATTGGGGTCCAATCTTCTCAGTGACATAATGCAACCCAGACTCTCATTTCCCACTCCCAAATCAGTGACCCTTAAGTGGCTCTAGAGGCAAGAGGCAAAGAAGAATAACGTAATTAAAACCAGAAACATCCATCCATCCACTGTTTTAATTTTAGTCACCATATTCAACTTACGTTGAAACTTCAAAATGACCTAAAAGGAGGACAGATGCTATTTTCATGTTATCAAAGAGCCTGGGTTTAACAGGTTGAGAAAAAATGCTACCTTTCTTGATGTTTCTGTGTTTATGCATTTGAAATTTTCTCAACCAACACTTATTAAATATCAACCATGTGTCAGGCACTAAGGATATCAACCAAAAAACACAACACACAACTCTTGTCCTCAAAGGGCAAACAATGCATTGGGGAAGGCAGATAATATGAAAGACATGATACAAACCATGGGAGAGGTATTAACGGCATACATAAGAACACAGAGACGAAATTCCTTCTGGTAATATCAAGAAGTGTCACAGAAAAGCTGGCACTTCAGCCAGCCCTTAGGTTAACTGAGTGCAGTAGGTTGAATAGTGACCCTCAAAATGATATGTCCATGCCCTAACTACCAGAACCTGTAAATGTGACCGTATTTGGGAAAATAGTGTTTGCAGATACAATTAAGTTAAAGATCTTAGATGAAATCATCCTGGATTAGAGTGGACCCTAAATCCAATGACAAGTCCTTATATAAGAAAAGGAGAAACAGATACACAGAACAGAAGGGAGAAAACCATACGAAGACAGAGGCAGAGATTGGCATGATGCACCTACAAGCCAAGAAATACCAAGGAACACCAGGAGCCATGAGGAACCACCAGAAGCTGGAAGGGGCAAGGAAGGTTCTCCCCTAAGCCTGCAGAGGGAGCCCTGCTAACATGTTAATTTCAGAATTCTGGCCTCCAAAGCTGAGAGAGAATCAATTTCTGTTATTTTAAGCCACCAGGTTTATAGTAGTTTGTTACAGCAGCCCCAGGAAACTAACACAGTGAGTAGAAAGGATTCTGACAGCCAGCATCAAATGAAGAACATTCTGGGCAGAAGGAACACTGTAAGTCAAGATAGTACATGTATTTGGAAACTAAGACAGTCTACTGTGACCAAAGCACAGAACAAGTATTGTGGAAATGAAGGCAGAAAAGCTGAGTCAGCTTACAAAGAACTTACTTTCCTATGCTAAGGCTGGGCCTGGCAAAGTCACGCTTGTCTGTCCAAGAGAAGAGATGTAGAAGATGGACTGTAGGGGCAGAACTGGAAACCAAAAGATCTAATGAGGAGATTAAAGTAGAGAAGCTGAAGGGAAGACAGAATGAAAGGGGCAGCCAGAAGTGTCATTCTAGAAACACAAGACGACTTGATGACCCATAATGCAGTCCCATGACAGACCCCCAACTCTTGGAGCCCTTCTCTATAGATAGCTCACGTCATCTCTCAACTCCTGGGTTTCCAACACAAAGGAACAAATGGGCACCAATCAGCGGTGGGGGCTTGGGGGAGTTAACGTATTAGTACGTGCGGAGAGAAGCTTAATGAACATTTGTTCTTTAGATTTTTAAATGACACATGGGCAGGATAGCAAGGGGGCACACGTACCAATGATGGCCACCTTGTTCTCCTTCATGGAACTCAGCACCTGCTCCAGCTTCTCCTCAGATGCCATATTCTGTACCTCGCTCAGGTGATGTTCCTGGAACTCCACCGGGACAGAGGCAGCCTTCAAGGACAGGTCCCAAAAATCGCAGGGTCAGAATCGGGTAAGTCCTTTCCAACCCACTCCATCGTCCCTGCTGGCTGATTCCCCCGAGCCCCTCACCTTGAACACCTCCTTGACAGCGTGCATCAGCTCAGGCCCCACACCGTCTCCTGGGAGCATGGTCACGGGAAAGGCGCCCTCCACCCTTACATCCTCGGCCTGCAAGCGAGGCCATCAGAGCTAGAGCTGGGGCGGGAGCAGGGGTCCTGAGGACAAGGGAGGGATGGGGAAGCCTGGGGAGGAGGTGTCAGGGACTTAGGCGAGACCGGAGCCGGACTTGGGCTTACCTGGCTCCGCGAGGCGGCGTGCGCCACCGCCGAGGTACCCAGGCTCCGCCATGCCCCCGGGTTCGGGGCAGCAACCAGCGCCTGCGACAGGGATACACAAGCCTGTGAGGTCGGGTCGAGGATCCCCGGACCCCGAATACCGCAGTGAGCCTGGTACAAACCCGCTGCTCCCACGCCCGCCCCCAGCCCGGCCTGACCCCCCGGGCTCACTCGGGTCAACCAGCGGACGCCGCCGAAAG